TAAAAGATTTCCATTTTACGTATCAGTCACTTATTTCTTTGTTTCTCTCAAGAAAAACAAACTCCACATTTTCTTACCAAAAATGTCTTTATAATCACACTTCATTGAAAAAAATAAACAGAGAACAAAACTCAAATGCAGAACCTGGGGTATGCCTTCAATAAAAATACATATTATTTTAGGCAAAATTTACTTGTTGCCACAGAAAGGCAAGTCATAATAATAAGTTGATTCTACAACTTACCCAAAATTAATATCTTAAATGCTTAAGATACAGGTCTTACTAGACCCCCCCCCTACAAATACACAATTTCTTGGTCATGTATATAATACCCAAGTTTTACTTTTTTATATTATCTAATAAAACTACTACAGTATTACCTTTGCAAATAGTCTAGACTATATGCCAAAATATTCCCTCTCTATCGGCAAATGGGAAAATCTAAGAAAACACAGGCGTAACAATGCCCTTACAATAATGAAGTTTTAACAAAACATGACATAGAATTTTTTTCCTTGATTTTTCACCATACTCACACTAAAATAACGTTTATTCACTAATCTCCATCACAAAATTCTGCTAATAACCCCAGGAGCATTCTCTGCCTCTTATCAAAAAAAGTGTTAAAGAAACATTAATATTAAACAATTCTTCCAAGTTAAATAGTGAGATGTTTATCACTGACTCAATCACCTAATACATATTCTCACTGCATTCAAGTCTAAAGAAAAAGCTGACCCATAGTATAAAAGTAAGGCTCAGCAGTAACCAAATCCTCGTGCACAGTACTATTGCCCTGTACAAACACACCATTAAATTTCTACAGGAAACCATACACACAAGTTCCCTTTTTTATACTGATTTAAATATCCAATTATACTTGGTATGGTTAGTAAATCAACCATCTTTACACCATACTGAGTCAGTAACAACTTCATTCAACAAAGTAGGAAACATAATTAAAAGCCAATGAACTTCAGTAATTATACTTACTAAGACATGAGGAAGGATGTAAAATTAAAATAATAGAATTAAGAGGATAAAATAAAAATGTTTAAGACATATTCCAACTCATGGAGGTAAGATTTAAATGACTGGATCTCCATCCAATATGTTTTCATTTATGATAGGGAAAAGGGTCTAGCAAAAGAGGAGGAGGTTAAAAATAACCTATCACCAGTTTTGTGTATGTTTTTAAAGAACAGTTTGAAGTTTTGTTAACTACCACTTCTAATGAGCACCACTGGACCGAGGACTGTGCCAAGAGCCTTTAAAAATAGAATGTGGCAAAAGTAGATTTACTGTTGTTCATATGGAAAATAATACAATATTAATGAATTATAATACAAGAATAAACTGTGGTTCACATACTCCTAACTGTAAACTTCTTTTGCCACACCCTGTACATTATCTCATTTAACATAAGAGAAAATAAAAATGATGAGTAAAAATTATCAATAAAAACTGAAAAATGAGAAAATTTCTGAAAAACAGTAAATTACAAAGAACACATGAATCAGATCTCCAAGCACCAAACAAAGTAAAAACACTACAGATTAAAGACTAGACAATGATCCAGGAAAAACTCAACTTCACATATGAAAAAGGTGGGTGCTAAAGTAATAGCTGACAAAATATATTTCCCCCCTTTTAAAAAGTAGCAGTAGGTAATACATTACACAGTGTAACACAAACTCCTCCCAGTGACTCTTATTCAGGACTATAAAGTCAATATTTAGTAATGAACAAACAGAGAATGAAACTTTGATTTTGAAAAGTAAAGATTATAACATCAAACTAAATTAGAGATATACAATCAGTACACTAGAGCACCAAAAGCTGCCCTTTATAATGACAAGTAATGTTAATAAACATTAAACACTTGTCAATTTTAAATTCTCTATTCTAGAGGTATATCTTCACTTTGAAGCTAGGTATTAAGTAAAAGAAAGTTTAAACAAAATAGTTTGATTCATTTTTAACTGTAAAAATCAAAGCTAGCACTGTCCTTATAGTATAAAACAAACAAAAGCTAAAGATTCTACGGTCTTAAATTTTCTTGAATGGAAAAATCCCAAAACACCTCCATATGCAAAATTCTTAAAAAGTCAGTCACAAATGTATCTGACAGTATCAAGTATCAAATCATCAGATCATTTAATGTGTATTTTAATAAGCTTGCTTAGGACATTTACTAAACTGAGCCCTTTGGTTTGTCCTCAGTGTTCATCCTCTACCCGCCTCCCCAAATATTTTTCAAAAATCTTCTGCAGGAAATTAGATGTGATACAAGTACTCTCAAATTTTTAGAGATGGAAAACCTGCAGCCCAAAATTAACAAGATCTGCTGTCTTATGGATCTGACCAATAAAAGCCAAAGAAATGAAACAAGCCTCAACTTCCTCTACCACAAAAAGTGAGCACTGACTCAAAACTTAAGCAGTTATTTATTAAGTCAACAAATACTGGTTGCCTACTGGGTTTAAGGCACTATGCTAGGCACTGATAATACAACTATGAACAAGATACAGACACTACCTCTGCCCTCATGGTACTTCCATTCTAATGAGGAAGAGGATCCAAAAAACAAGTAAAAATGCTGATATAACCAAATATTGACCTGAATTCTACCAAGCAATTTTATCATCATGGCCCTTTTTACTGCAAATTATCATCTTAAAAGCACGTCAGTCAATCCACTTAGTTTCTTCAAACTACACATGTAATTATTATTAAAATGAAAACTAATTTTGTGAACCAATAATTTTGAAACCTTAGCTCTGAATATGTAACATATCCTTCTCAAGAGAATTTAAAAATTAGCTGCCAGGTGTTCACAACAGCACTATTCACCATGAATGGATGAATGGGTGAACAAATTGAGGAATATATACAACAGAATTATTATTCAGCCATGAAAGGAATCAAGTACTGATACGTTCAACGACATGGTCGAACCACAAAAACACTATACTAAGTGAAAAAAGCCAGCCACAAAAGGTCACATACGTATGATTCCATTTATATGAAATATCCAGAACAGGTAAATCCACAGAGACATCCCAGATTAGGGACTAGGCTTCCAGGGACTAGGAGGGGGCCAGAGAGAATGAAGAGCAATTGTTTAATGGGTTCAGGGTTTCCTTTTGGAGTGATGAAAATATTTTGGAATAGAATTGATTGCACAACATTGCAAATGCATGAAATGACAACAAATCATTCACTTTAAAATGGTTTATGCCATGTGTATTTCACCTTAGTTTTTAATTAAAAAGAATAGCTACTAGAATATTTTTAAGTGAATATTTTTGTCACAAAACTGCTCAAATTTAACTTTGGGAGTTTTGATTATAAATCGTTTCAAACCTTAACTCCATCTAGACCCATATTAATACCAAAATGGTTTGCTGGGCTTAACAAAAAAAATAAAAATAAAAAAATCAATCGTTTCTTAAAAAGCTGTTTTCACAGGTTTTAAATGTTATTCAATATTTTGGATGTAAATAACAATTCCCATTTACACGATGATACTCATTTATTACTCAATGTTTGGGTAACTTCTTTCTTGGTCATATATTTGGTATATAGTGTGCTCTAATCAAATCTGTGTCCAATAAGTTTGCTGACATCAACTGTTTATCTTCTTTGTAATGAAAATATTCTAACTAGTTGTTTTTATTTTGTTAAATCCCCATAATGTAAGAACGATTCAATGCCACACTCTTCACAAATGCAACTTTCCCCTTTGTACCTCTATTCAGCCTGCCGAGTAGCGTAGTTATCTGGGTTATGGACCCCCCAACCCCACTTCACAATCTCCTTGAGGGGCATCAGTCCTTTTTGCATGTACCGTAACACTACAAAGTTCCTAAGAGTACCTTCGACATAATAGGTGTTCAAATGGTGTCAGTGGAATTGAAATAAACACAGCCAACAAATAACTATTGTAAATTATTTATTATGTTGAAAAAGACACGTAACGTATAAAGACTAAAACGACTGTTAAGACAAATACGGCCCAGAGAATCCTTATGCCTCACGTTCAGATGTTTTTCAATGCAACTCTACAGAACAGTCTGTTGAACATCAATATGAACTCGAAATAATTCACCTAATACCCTGAAAGAATAATTAGGGATTAGTCTTACCTATCTCCCTCTTGAAGTTCGCCTACATATGTAATAGGGAAAGTGAACTTAATGAACCACAGTATTTCAAACCAGGTCACAGGAGACCTCTAAGTCCCCAGTCATCCTGTTTCTATTTCCTGATTGGTCTGACCTCCATGTATTATTGTGCCCAGCCTCCCCAATTCACGATCTCCTTTAAAACATCTTCCGAGGTGAGCTTTTTCTTAAAAATTGATTTCCAGAACTTTCTAGAACAGATCACCTCACTTTTTTAATCTCCTGAAACACTCTGCTCAAGACAAGAAACCTAGTTTTCAGAAAGTCCCGTTATAAGTTACACTTCGAAAAGTGGGCCATAAACTTGCACAAGTGGAACTGAAAACGACAGCGTTTCTCTCCCAACAAAGCAGACTTAACAAACATGTGCACGAATTTTAGACCTCCTACACTTCAAAAATGTACATCTTTCAAATAAAGATTTTAAAGGACGAAGAATAAATGAAAAACCAAATGTGCTTACACTTCACAGGGACATTTTCTCCGCATCATGCTGGCAAAGAAGCGACAACCAGACGCCCCGTCTGGGGCAGTGGCCCCGACCCTCGGCCTCCAAACCCCGGAGTCCACTGGCCACAGGCATCCCGGAGTCGAGTTTCCCACTACTTTGCTTCCAGCCAAGCCCGCCGCCACTTCCACGTCGCAGCAACCCATACGCCTCCTCAGCGATTTAAATCCGCTCTTCACTCACCACACGCACGCACACACGGTGTTACCAGACACCGGACGACCGAAGGACCAGGGAGAGGGCGAACCCGTGTGAGCGAGAAGAGGAGCGGACGCTCCTCGGTCCCGCCCGGCCCGGCACCCACCTGCAGGCCGCGAGCCCGGGGGCGGCGGTGCCGGCGCCCCGTCCTCGCCGAAGACGAGTTTGAAGTCGAGCTCGTCGTGGGCGCCACAGTTTGCAGTAGTCATCGGCGTGGCCCAGGGTACTACGGTTTCTCCTCAGGCGGCGACTACAGCAGCGACAGCTCCTCAGCGCCGCTTCATGCCGGGCCGAGCCGGCCAAGAGGTAGCGGCTCCGGAACAAACTTTCCGGGCGGGGACCGCGACGCCGACCTTTCCGTTCCGAACTCTAGAGCTGGCCGCGCGCCGAACCGCACCAGGAGCTGCCGCCGCTGCCTGTCTCTTGTGCCTAAGCCGCCACAGGGGCCGCAGCCGACGTTCCCCACTCCGCAACCGCCGCCGCCACCGCCGGCGCGCTCCCGCGCCGTGCTGCGCGCCCGACCCCGCCCCCTATCGCGCGCCCGTCTGACCGGGCCACCCATAGGCCACTGGCGCCACCGGCGAACCCGATGGCCCCGCCCTCTCACGGGCCTACCGCGTGACCCCGTCTCCCGGAGAAGGAAGTCACGTGAACACGGCAAGCTGGAGAGCCCTCTACCTCTTGGGAGTTGTAGTTTGGCTTCTATTCCCTTCTCAATTTCTAAACCAGGCCCGCGCACGCGGGTGTAAAGTCGATAGCTATAATCGGAATTAGGAACCCATCACCGACCAATCGGAAAAAATCCCTTCCCTTATTGGGCCATAGCTCACGTCGAGGAAGGGCACCAGAGCCCTGAGCGTCCGGGTTCTAAACCATATTACTCTGCTTCACTGGGTTTGGGAAAGGTATCAGGGCGCCTGAAGGTTACACAAGCTCCACTCAAACCCTCATACCCAACCCCAAACCAATTAGCGGGTTCTGGAGAAGGCAGGGACCAGACCTAGATTGGGGCGGAGCCAGAGACCTGGGCTGCGCTGCGAGTTCCATAGACCCACCCCTGCGGGGCGGGTACCGCACTTAGCTGGCTGCGCCTTTGTCTGCCCCCACGAGCCGTCCTGGCAGCTGCTCCTTTGAGGACGGGCGGCTCGTTCGCAGCCTCGACAAAGCCTGAGGGGCTCGACCTGAGGAGCTGCTGGAAGTTGGAAAGCCCGGCGTGACCTCTGCGTCCCAGTACATAGGAAAGCGGGAGGGATCGTGTTGCCCAAACCGAGTGGCTGTAAGGCAGTGACACTGTCTAAAGAACCGTTTTCACTCCTGGCCCCTCCCCAGCAGGCCTGTCTTCTCCTGAGACTACCCACGACTGCCTCCTCCTGGGGCCTGTGCCCGGGGACTCTGAGCCAGGCTTGTTTACTTACAGCTGTTCCAAGGTGCAGGTTGGACGGGCAGCTGACGGAGGTGGAGGAGACTGACTCTCCTAGCTCCGGGCCCCACAGGACGTAGCATCCCTACAAGGGCGTGGCAGGGAACCCAGTGGGGGACGCAAAGATAAATTAGTCTCCCTTCAGGGGTGGGAGAGAGGCCAGCAAATCTATAATCACTGTGCGAAGAGATGAGGGCTGTGCCCTGTCCTCAGAGAAGGTTCATAATCCCGCTGGCTACAAAGCCTCCACAGGGCTAATTATGAATTGGACAAGAGATGAGAGAGGTGGTTCCAGACAGAACAGATTTCCAAGGACTTGGAGATCAAAAGTAACTGTAGTGAGAAATCTAAGGTTAGACCAGATGAAGGGACTGCAAGCCATATTGCAAGGTATATGGACTTTATCCTGAGGGCAGTAGGGAGCCACAGAAAGGTTTAGAGCAGGGTACTTCCATGTTCAGAATTCTGAATGAATCACCCTGGATTGAACTGGGAGCAGAGGATAATAGTGGTCAAGAAGAGGGAGCAAATGGCATGAAGTGGGTATAACATCTTCCCAATAAACTGTCCTGCTTTCAAAGGATCCCCAACCTTGAGGGACTGAATGTAGAACTTAGAAGCCAAAAGCCACACTAACTTTGCAGCCTTCTGCCCCAGGCAGATGATTGGCCTGCCAATTAGTACCACATGTAACATGACCCCAGTATAGTAAAAGACCCCAAAAGGTTGTCCAACTTACCTTCCCCTCCCCATAAAACAATGTAATTTCAGGATGTTTGCCTCTGCCTCCATACACGTATCTCTGAACTTTAGCCTCTCTGCCCTCCAGACATGACTCTACCTGAATCAGGGACTCAGCCAGCCAGGCCAGGGAAAAAGCAAGAGGAAGACAGGGCCTGTCAGCCCCACTGCTAGGAAGGGACCACAGAAGCTGCGGATAGATGGCTTGAAAAATTCACAAATTCACCTGGGTGATGCAGCTGTGTTCTCAACCACTGTACCTGGAGAAAACTTACAAGGCATCAGGTCTTGGGGAAGGTTTCTGGTCTGGAGGAAACTGAGAATCCTATCATGGTGTGATGAGGGCTGGGGCAGGGGTGGGTACCAACTTTAGGAAGAAATGTCACCACTTTTGTAAGAAAGACAGCAATGACTGGGAGCTCCACAGGCTGTGACAGGACCCCACCACCAACCACACACACACACCCGTATGTAAACTCTCTGCCCCTTTTCCTCAGTTAGGGGCAGGAGTTTTCCTATGAGCTCTTTCCTCAGGCCAGCTCCAAAGCTGTCTTAGGTGGCTGGAGGCCATCTGACTCACCTTCAACCTTCTGAGAGCCCTGGGAAACAAGGAAGCTCAGGGGACCACTGCAGTAGATAAAACCCTAGACTGGGCCAGCTGTTTAGGTCTCTGTATGCCCCCTCTTGCTCCTGTGTGAATGCCAGCCAGGCCTGAGATTTAGGGAAAGCCATCTATTTCATCAGCTGCCCCATGCCTGGCTCTGAGCCCCAACTGTTGAAGGCTCTCCTTATGGCCTCTGCACCATGGGATGATACAGTTTAGCCCAGTTCAACCAGCTTTGTTCCACATTAGCAGAAACAGGAGCCTTGGAGGAAAGTCAGAGTTTAGACTTCCTCTCCATGCCATACATCCCCTTCCCTCAAGCTCTTGATACTTCTATGCCTTCTCCCCACGTCCATGACAAGGCTGGCCACAGGGGTCACAGTGACTGCCCTTGATCAGCTCCAGTCTACAATCCAAGACAATTAGATGCTGGAGTCAGCACAGACTACTTCATTTGTCCTCAAATGTTAGGTTAGGGAGTTTGGACTTGATCCAGAGGGCAGTGGAGAGCCATGGAAGAGTTCTGAGCAATAATGACACCTCGAAGGAAATAAGAATGCAGGACTGCAGGGGTAAGAGGTTCCCTCCCTCTCATATTCATATCAAAACCCTTTGTCCTCAAAATGTGAGGAGTTAAGAGGAAGTCCTCAATCAGGACAGTTGGAATGGATGGATAAGTGTTGTGGCCACCAGCCCAGAGTTGGGTTTGGGTGTCTAAGAGGCCTTAGTTTAAGGTTGGCATGAGGATGAACAGAGGATGGAGCTTTCAGACCTGACTGGACCCTCCAGTCAGTACCAGGTATCAAGTAGGTCACTGAGACCAGGGCGGGCATCACTGAGGTGCGCTACAGTGAAACCATTTGTGAGCCAACGTTGTCAACCAGGATCTTTAACAGACATCCTTACGCATGGAACACATACTAGCCCCTACCTACCTGCTCCCCTGTAAATGACCCTCTCCTCAATACTTCTCCTGGGTCCTCTAAGTCCCCACACTTCACCCTCTATCTGAACAACTCACCTCTACCCCTGCCTCTCCTCCTACATAGTCTAAAAAGGAATCTGACACTGCCAGAAGGGGTTTCCCCAGGAAATCACAATAGTGGACAAAAAGACTGGAGGACAAAGCCCAACCCCCTGGGGAAGATCTTAAAACTGGGTACCTAACCCATAAGGGTCCTCCTATAAGCTCTGACTGGCTCAGGATGCCTGGGGGGCATCCACAGGGGCTTCGTTATCTGCCCTGTCCCAATCCGGGTAGCAAAGAGGGCATTTTTGACTAAAACAGTTTTTTGTAAGAAAAATTGGAAATAAATTGTACCCAAAGCTTGATGGCTGAGACCAGAAAAAGCCTCAGCCGCGTTCCCGGGTGGGGTCCCTTTTCTGGGAGCACTGGTCTGGGCAGTTAGGGCAGGCTCAGCATGGAGTGACCCCATTAACCACATGAGTGCCCTATCACAGGACTGGCCTATTTATCCTCCAGCCAGCCTCAAGCAGGCAGAGGAGAGCTGACCCCACTCTCAGAGGAGGGCCCCTAGCCCCCGAGAGGACTAGAAGTAGCTTGCCAACGGTCAGATAACCATGGACTCTGGAAGGCCACTGGTAGCACGGTATCCTTATCTGCACACAGAAGAGCAACGTAGTGGTTCGGGACTGAGACAGAGCCCTCACCAGCACAACCCTTGAGTCAGGCTGGAACGGCCGGGGCTGCTGGCTGGTGCAGGGGCCTGACCTTGGGGAGATGGGAGGAGCATAGTCTTGGCCCAGAGGGGATTCCCCTCTTCCCTCAGAGCTTGGGAAAGGGGAGAAGCAACATGTTTACAGCTGAGGAAGAAGGAGCAGCTCTGGGCAGGGACCTTTGGTCAGAATGCCCCTCCCAGTAAGCGGGGGTGGCCCCACAAGTTGAGTTGTGGTAGCCGTTTGTTTGCTTCTCACTGCCAGGAGGAAATTAAAGAGAATCTGCCACTTCCGGCTCAAACCGGATGGTGGGGGTGGGGAGGTGGCGTGGGCAGGCAATCGCAAGGGCCCCAAATTGTTGTCATCAGCAGTCTCCAAAGTCTTCTGCCCAGAGCAGGCACTTTGTAGGTGTGAGCTCCAGATAGCTGGGCTCACACCCAGCGCTCCCAACTTGCCTGAGTAGGTCCAGATACCCTAATTGTTCCCGCAGGTTCCATATCGTCGTCTCTCATCGAGAAAGCCAACCGATGGCCATTGCCTCAGGTTTGTCATCAGTAGAATGGGCTTCTTCGGTCTTCCTGGCTCAGCTCAAGTCCACTGAGCACTTAAGGTGATATCCTGCCCCTCACTTCCTCCCAGATTTGCAAGGATAGTTAGGAAATAGGCATTTAAGGAAGCTCCAGCTCTTCACAGAGGGTGGGAGCAGAATAATCATGCCCGGTCATCCATCCATCCATCAGTCTGTATGTGAAGATGCCCAAGGCTGAAGCAGCCAGCCGTGGGTAAGAGTAGAGGGTGTCTTTATTGCACTGTACCAATGTCAGGTTAGGGAGGTGCCACTGAAAAAGCCCCTGTTTTCAAAGAAAATACTGAGGTCATTGGAAACTTGGCCCTGCTACTCAGACTGACCATGAGAGGTAGGCACTCTGGGCTCCCTTTGGCCCATGCTCCAGGCTGATGGGCCAGGCCAGAACCTCTGAACACCTGTCAGGCAGGGGCAGCAAACTGTCCAATATCATCTGGTTTATGTTCTGTACCCACAGTTACCTTAGGGCCAGGCCCACAGTGGGGGGATGGTAACCAAGGTAGACAGTGGTCACCAGCCTTCCAGAGGGTTGTCTTTACTACTTCCCAAGGTTACAAAGGGCTTCTTGCACAGATCCCCAGGCAGTGCTGGCTCTTGAGCTCTGGGGCCCCCAGGGTCTTGGTCAGGTATCTCCCGCTTACGCTTGTGCAAGGAGGAACTCTCCTCACCCAGCCGACCCTCAGGGAGGCCCTGGCTCCGTAGACAGACGATGGCTGCAGCCTGCTCCGCCAGTTTCTTGGACTTGTCCCTGGGCAGATGAGGCATGGGGCAATAAGGCAGGTAGGCAGGCACAATGGTGGCAGGACTAGAGGCTGGGAGGCCTGACTCTCAATACCCTCGTCACAGATTCTGACAAAACTAAGGAAGGGGTCATCACCCAGGGATGCCACCACCCAGGGACACCATCCTCCCAACCCTCCCAGGCCAATGTTTGGGATCAGGCCCTCCACCCCGAGCCTCATGCCCCTGGATGAGGAAACTCACCACAAGGTAGACTGGTACTTTTGCTCAGCAACAGTGACAACAGAACGGAAGAGCCGATCCAGGGGGCGTTGAACCTGGTACACAGACAGAGAAGGAAATAGGAATGGCTGCATGAGGGAAAGAAGACTGAACCTGGAGGCCCACCTCCTGGGGTCAGGTTGAAGGCAGAGAAGAGGAAGTCCTTCCCATCTAAGTCAAATGAAAGCCACTTGTTCCACATCTTCCTCCCCCACCCCAGCAGAAGTGTCTGGTGCATCTTGCAGGAAAGAAAGGTGGATACACAAACCGACAAGGACACTGCAGCATGTCAGGAGTTCTGTCATGGACCTAAGCAAAGGGACATTAGAGCCCTTAGCTGTGAGTGACTATGGAGTCTTCTCCTACTAACATCTGGATGGGCCATGTCCCCAGAATAAGGAGTTCGCCAGATGGCAAAGGGGTGAGAGGGGACAAGAACTGGGGCAAAGAAGATCCATCTGGCAGAGAGACCAGGTGATGTGGCAGGATAGAGGGCTGAGTGGATGAGACCTGAAGCAGAAAGGCATGGGGGGAGGGGGGTGTCTCATGCTCTGAGCTGATGAGGACTTGAGCAAGGGAAATAAGAGTTCAGGTTCACTTCAGAAATGTCATTCTGGCAGAGGGGCACACAAGGACCAGAAGGTACAAGCTTGGAGGTCAGAAGTCCAGAGACAGAGCCACCTAAACAAGACATGGCTATAGGACCAAAGGACATGAAGCAATACTGTCTGTTTTGACTGAGGGGCCGCATGTCTGGGGCCCAATTCTATGCCTCATTAGCTGAGGCATGGTCCAAAAACATGTCTAACTTTCAGGTTTGAGCATCCTTCCTAAGTCAGTTGGCCCTCCCCAGAGACATCACCCCTCCCTAAGGAACACCACTGGTCCCAAGCAGCCCCTTACTTGGGTCTCTAGTTCAGTTTTATGAAAAGTGGCCATAATTAACAACAGGCCTGCTGTCAAAAGGAAGGCTTTATCAGCAACTGGCTCAACCATCAGTAACCACTGTGTGCCTACAGAGGGCAAAGCCAGGCTGCGGCCAAGCACTCTGCAGCCCAGGGAACAAACTGCAGGTGTGTGGGAGGTGGTGGCACCAGCTGTGGGAATGTTGCGGGGCTGGAAGCAGGGCGGGCCACAGCCAGGAACTCACCGTTTCATATACAGGTTGTGCCAACTTCTCCCTCCGGCACCATTCCAACAGGCACATCTTGGGGGTGATCTGGGGAGAGTATGCTCTCCTGGAGAAAGGAGGGGGAGGAGTCAGGGCCCGCCCATCATCACTCCATTTCTCAGCACAGGCCCCACTCAGTTCCTGGTAGGAGATGCAGAAACTGAAACATCAAGCTGCTGCCTTAAGACTCCTGTACCTACTTCCTGATGTCCCACTTCTGTCCCACCAGCAACTTGGGGCCACTTCTGCCTAAAGGGAAGATGGGCTTCAGTATGCTTGGGGAACTGGGGTGGGAAGTGAACTCCCAGCACTCTGAGCTCCAGCCTGGAAAATAGCCCCCGACAGCCAAGAAGGAAGGTCCAGTTTACCCCTCAAGACAAGATCCAGAGAAAGTGGATGGGGGTGGAGAACACAGGTAGCTATACCAAGGGCTCAGGCATCTAGCTTAGTACCCACCCCAATTATGTCTGCTAAGTGTCAAGATGATCCCCTGCTGGTTAGACACAGTGGACTCTGGTTTCAGAGTCAGTCTGCACCATGTTCCAACTTCCTACCAGGAGCTCTCCCTGCATGTGACTACCCAAGAGCCGATCCTACGCCCCTTCTCCCAAGCCCTTGCCAGACAAGACTGGCTCCTGGTCTGGGCTTGGGGACCTGAGACAGGCTTAGATCCCAGATTGCAGAGGACAGAGACGAGGGACCCAATCAAAGCTCAGCCACAGCCCAAGGCAATAATTGGCCTGAAGTATTCCTGCCCAGTGGGGACACCACGGGGCCTGTGAGGGGCAGTAGGTATGGACAGGAACTGCACAGCCAGATAAGGGCTAGGGTCATGTTGCCAGTGGGGAGCTCCTTGCAGGCACCTAGTTCCTCAGGGCTAGGGGAAAAGTACAGACTTTCAGGGTCAGAGGAGATAAGTCCTCTCACCCAAGTTGTGGGAGGGGGTGGGTCAGGAAAAGGTGGAGTTCGGTCCCCCCTGGGACAACATGCACAACCCTCACAGCGCTGCCTGGGCCTCCAGGAATTATCTTCTCCAAAGGGCCTTGTTTGGGTTGTGGAAAACTGAGAAGTGTCCAAACCAAGGAGACCTGTGGTCCCCAAGCTTGTCCTTAACCAAGTACAGCAGACAGCTTGTCAGCCCGGTCAGTCCTAGGGCACTGGCCCTGGCCCAAGCTGAGGCAGCTGGAGACCTACCGGTCAAACTTGACGGCCATCTTAATGACACCAGAGGTGTCTTCAGCTGGCTCCTTCTCCTCCTCTGGGGTCCTGGCCAAGAGCTCAGCCCGCCGCGTGTCCAGTTCTCGGGTGGTCTCCTCATAGAAGGTACCAAGGCCAAAAGCCTCACTGTGGAAAGACAAGTGGAGTGGAACAAGCCCCTTAGTGGAGCCAGCGATGAGGCAACTACTGCAGGAGCCTAGGGCCCCACCACTGAGAAATAATCCTTCATACACACACCAAAACAACACCTCTAGGACCTGGCCATCAAGAAGGCACCTTCTACTCAACCTTGGGATCAGTCTGGACTGGCAGATGGACAGTGAACGTGGGCCCCTGAGGGTGGACACTGGAGGGCAGGCAGGGCTGGGTGGAAAACGTTCTAAAGGTCACTTCCGCCACCTGAGCCCAGCCTCTCTTCCAAGGAAAAGCATACGGGTGGCTGTCCCGAGCCAGCAGTGAGTAAGCTGACCTACACTGATCACATACGGGAGGTATGCATAGCCTCGTCCTCATGTGGGCCCACAGGAGGAAGAGATGGAGGACTGACCACTGAGTGGTTCCCCACTTCCTGTCCCGGCCACAGTTAGGCCTCACCTAAACTGAGGTACCATCCAGAGCTACAGAGTTACACTCTTGAAAATGATACTCTTGAGCTCACAAGACACCTGGGTCAAGCTGGTTAAGCTAGGTGGCATAGGGACAGAACCAACACCACAAGCCCAGGATGAGGAGGGTTTGGGCAGGGCTTTCCTGTCCTAGGGAGCATTTTGAGGGCGGGGGGACACTCACAAAGATGGTGACTGGGGGTGAGAGAGAATCATAAAGGCTTCTTTGGAGGAGGGAAGATATAGACAACCAACATGATGGGGACAGACCATTCGGGCAGAAGATCCAGTACGAACACAGGTGTGGAAGTGGGGAAAAAAGAGTAAATAGGGAGCAGGCACTGGATCAGGCTGTGAGGGGTCCCAAATGTGAACCACCTGAGTAGAGGAGCAAGGGGTGGCCTCTCAGACTGCAGAGTGATGGGGTACGGGTACAGGCTCATGCCAGGGACTCCATTCCGCAACCCCAACTCTCCTGACAATTGGGTCTTGGTGGCACAGTATGTGATAGACCTGTTACTGGGAAATCCCCTTCCTCCCCAGGAATTCCCAAGCCCAGGCCTTGCATTCCTCTATCCTACTAGTGCCTCAGTTCCCGAGACATTGCTGCTGAGATCAGTCCAGAGAGAGAAAGTTCCAAAGCTTTGAAAGTATCCCCTTCTGTCAGGCAAAGCTGTTGCATGACCCCACTACTGCACATCCATCTCCAGAAGCTGTGTCCCAGGTCCTCTGGTAGAGTCAGCTTAGGGCTCAGAGTCAAAACTGGGCAATGTCTGCTAGGACAGATGGACAGCCCATTGCCCCTCTCACCAAATTTCCCGGGAAGACTGGGCAGCATGGAGCAACTTTCCCTGGGGCGACTCCAGCTGTTCTCGTAGCATCTGACACAAGCAGTACTTGGTATTGGTGTAGTGATTGTCATACTGCACAGCCTGGAAGAAGAACCGACATGAGCCCGCCTGCTGCCGAGGCAGGCTCTGAGGCCTGAGCTTTCCTCTGATGCAGGGAAAAGGGGTCCCAGGGGGCACCAGAGGTGCGCTTGCAGCCAAGGCAGTGGGATCCCATAAGAGCAGTCTCCATCCTGGCCATCTATCCTTCAGTTAGTGGTACAGAGCTAAAGGGTCACATCCAAAGCCCATAATCAGGAGCACACCCGACTAGACATCCTGCCTGAGATCCAGATGTGCAGGGAGCCCCTCCTGCATCAGCCACCATAGTTAACCACAGAGGACCTGTGTCAAGCATCTTCTAGGGCAGGGAGGAGGACAAGACAAATTCTTGTCTGCCAGGACCAGTCCCAGGACAAGGGGAGATTCTTCTATTCCTTATAACCATATAGGTACCTTTCCTTCCCACATCTGAAATGGCCTGTCTCCAATTTCTCCTACATGGGTAAAGTATACAGCACTATCCACTGATCACGTTCACATGTGTTACTTGTCACTACACTGAGGCATGAGGTGCAGTTGTTACCATTACTTCACAAACTGGTAAGTATAGGATCAGGGACAAGACAACTGACCGCCCAGGGTACCAGTAGAAACCCGCCTGGCTGGAGCAGGCCAAGGAGTATGCATGGAGGGTGCCCCAGCCCTCCAGAACCCCTTCTAACCCTTGCCCCCTGCGCTTTTCTAATATCAACACTAGGCCTACATCTTCGGTGTCTGGGTAGGTGCCATAGCACGCTCAGGAAAAAGCAGGGATATGTAGGTAAGCCCAGCCAGCAGTAAGGCTTTGATTCAGCTTATTTGGGACAGAAAACAGCTGGCTGGGCCCAAAACAGCCCTGCCTATGCTTGAAAGCCGCTCCCTTTCTCCAGGACAACAAACTTGAGGATCTGCCAGGCTCAGGCTGAGCAGGAATGATAGCAGCACCTTTCACCCAGTGAGCAAGCTCAGCATAACTGAACATGTCTTCTCTGCCCCAGGCTTGCCAGCTCACCAGAAGAGATATACAGCTGTCCTGGGCTGAAGCAAGCCCCCTTTGCCTCTGGCTGACCCAGGCCACTGGAGAGCCTGGTGGCCCCCAACCTGCCCAACAGGGCACCCAGATCCAAGAGGATGACATCTGCAGCACCAAGCAAGGGGGGCTCTGGGACAGAAGTTGCCCAGCTCTGGACATGGACCTCAGGGCCTTCTACCATCCCCAGCTTCCACAGCTGCCATTGCCCAGGCATGGCCATGGCTTGAAGAAGACATAGGCAGTCTGAGGATCTGAGATGCTCCTGACCCTACCAGGAGGGTGTACCCCCGAACCCCAGGATTGAAGAGGAGGGCAGAAGGCTGCTCTAAACGAGGGCTCAATCCCAACTCTGAAGAATCTGAGGACCATTCACTATCTCTACCTGCAGACATGCACAGCTGGCCACAAAGTCCCATAAGCTTCTGGGGTTGTGCCAAAGGGACAGAGCAGGTGAACTTGTCAAAAAAAAAAAGTCCTTTACAGGGAAATGCTCCTGGCACTACAATCAAGCTTCCAGTGAGAAGAAAAAGCTATTCCTTAAGGAGAGAGTTAACAGTCAGCTATTCCCTAAGTTAGGGGTTAAAGCATTCTAAGAATTAGCATGAAAAGAGTTTTTAGTGATTCTGGCTGATGACAAGAAGAGAAGTCTCTAGGGAGATAATCTCCAGAGATTATCCTCAACAACAGCAGCTACAATGGCTCCTCCCAGCTGTGGCTACTCTCGCACCAACACATTGCCATGGGTGTCTTCAGTGTCACAGACCCCACTGTCGTTTACATGTATGTGTATGTGTGGCAGTTGAAAAAGAGAGAGAGATTATGTGTTTGGGGTCCCCAAAGCATCCTGGTCCCAGGGGTCCTTGCTATGACCCCACATCTTAGAAGCTTTAGAAGGAGGTGATGAGCGGCATGCCTCCTCAGCCCCCTTTCTTCATATTGTGGCCTGGGAGACCCAACGCTGCGTGACCAGAACTGAAAAGGAGAGGGCCAATGAAGGCTGCTGGTAGCTGGTGGCTGGGGGCTCACCCAAAGCACTTTCTGCAGGAATGTGGCAAACAGGAGAAATGCTTATTTCAAAAAAGTGCAGAGACGTACGTATCGGATGTACTTCTGCATGACCTCCTCCAGGGGCCGCAGACCCTCCTGGAGGAAGATGGATGGGTTCCACATGGCAGCACGGGCCACCATCACTGAAGAAGCTGCCGTAGCTTGTCGAAAATCCTCGATGTCCGAAAAATCTTTGATATGGTCGTGAGATCCTCCACTGAAAGGCAACGGAGATAAGGGGTGTCCCCATCCTTGTCCCAGCACTTCAGAACGAGGCAACTCCCCGGTCTGCTTCCCATTAACTATATGGCTGTGCCTAAATCCTTCAGCTGGAAGCACTTCTGGAGCTTGGAGATTCTCACACACACCCCACTGTGGGGTCAGGAGCAACAAGTGAGATAATACAGGAAAGCAGCCAAAACCATGTCTGGCACTTAATAGATATCCCTGAGATTTTTACCTTCCTTCCACTTCATCCTAAACAGTGGCTAAAGCCAGCCCACATCTGAAGACATGGGTCTGTGAATGGATATTGGGATTATAGGAAACCCCAGCCCCACGCCAGGCTGGGGCGCCTATATACCCACTAAGGGCTGGGTCAAAACCCTAGAGAGGGAGCAGATGCGGTGGTGATTATGAGAGGAAGGAAGGAGGCCCAGTTTGGTTGCAATTTCCCTTCCTGCCGCCATGCAGCCCCAAGGGCCCCCTTGTAAACTGCTCTGTCTTCATCTGTTCCATTAGGAGCCAGACGGCAGCTTCAGTCCAAAGGCAGCCCTGGGGGTGGGGGAGGGGTTCGCATACACACACTCAGGTGGGAGCAGCAGTAAGAGGGTCCAGTGGTTTGAGTAGCCCTGCCCTCTCCAGACCACCCCTAAAACTCCTTGGCCTGGGGAAGGCTGGGCTTGGTGGCCAACCCCACCCTCAGCTCCCTCCCTCCCTCCCACCAGTCAAGTGTGCCTTTTGTCAGGACCTCAGGGCTTTGGAACTTCCACGTTCCCATCCTGCCATCAGGTTCGGTGCCATCCTGAGGTCTGCTGACCTGGACTCCCCACTGGCCTACACAGGCCAGCTCCCCAGGAGCAACTGGACATTGTCTGGCTACTGAGCTTCTGGGCTGCTAATTGGTAACTCACACCTGCCAGTCTAGGTTTCAGGCGCCATAGGTGCACAGAATGCTTGTCTGGGCTTTGGAATGGGACTGGCCTTATGAATCCTGAGCCACACATGTGTAGGCAAAAATAGGTTTATAGTTATTCATATGGAAAATAATACAAGAATAAACTGTTTCATGTACTTACAACTGTAAACCAATTTTGCTCTACATGTTCTGGCTTGGGCCTCCTCACCCTACACCCTGCACACCTAACTCTAGTGTGACCTCACCTTCCCCTGGGCCTGTTTCAGCAGCCACGTTCTTGCTCTCCCTGTCTCCTGAACACTCCTATCCTCATCCCATCCATCAGAGTGCCCTGGGCCCCTGCCCACCTACCTCAGCCCCTCACCAGACGCCAAAGAACATGACAGGCACTTGTGTCTGCCTCGTTACCAACTTCATTTTTCATCCCAGCCTTTCTTTTTTCCCTTAAGGTCAATTTTTAATCGTGTCTCATTCCACTTTTATATGCCAGCTTAAACCCCCTCTGAGCGAGGGGAGGCATGAAGTAAATGATGAGGAAGGGAGGCTTACTTGGCTATGACAGGAATGGAGAGGGTTTCAGCAATGGCTTTGATGGTTTCACAGCTGACAGGGTGTTGAGGTCGTTCCTCCCGCTTCCTTGGAGATAAACAAAAAAGACGGGGCTGAGAGCAGAGTGCCAAAGGCCTTGTCACAGTTTACACAGGGTTATGTTAACCGAATCCTACTGTCCTCCCTACTGAACCTCAGGAAGGTCATGTGGCCATCAAAGACAGGGGTCTAGGCTGCAGTGTGTGGCTCCCCATGACCTCTGCTGACAAGGCAAGTTCAGCTCTTGGAGGCCTACAGATGAGACATGGCTGCGGAGGGCTGATGTGGGTGGATGATTCCCAAGGTCATGCCACCGCTCCCTGACTTCCTCTCACCTCTGCCAGAGATGAAGAACAGTGCCATAAGACTGCTACCCCTACTGTCCTGGTCCTGCCCTCCCCACGGGACTCCGAACAGCTGCTGCCCCTCAGACTGGCCACTCCCACACAGCTGCCTATGCTGAGGCCAAGATGGGCAGCTGATCCTGGGGACAGGAACCTGGCACAGCGTAGACTCAGCAGCCAGGGCAGGCCACAGACCATGGCTGTCACAAGGAGCCCCAGGGGAGGCAGCACCACAACCTATATACCCTCCCTCCAAGGTCAACTGTAAGTTCTTATGGATGAGACTGAGTCTTAGGGATGCTGAGGTGAGCCCTGACCTGAGCTGTGCTTAGGAACAAGCAAGAGAGGTGGTTGACCAGATAGCCCTTACCCAGGTCTTGTTTGAGTGTGACCTCTCTGCCACACTCCTCAACAAAAAGGTCGAGGGCTGTAGGGCCTTAGTAGTACCACTCAACCCAGTCTCCACCTTCTCCTCCACACACCCCCAGCAGCCAGCTCTAGCCACCCTCAACAACTTTGATGGCCAGAGTCACTCCTTAAACTCTCTGAAATCTGTCTTCCTAGTGTTTCCAACTACTGGCAGAAAGGATCCTTATAAAGCAGAACTTATCTTAATTTCCAAATGAGGAATGTGGTGCACAGAGAGGTTATATGCTTTGTTCAAGGTTCCAGAGCCAACAAGCAACAGAGCCGGGATCTGAAACCAGGCAGTCTGAGCCCAGAGCCTGTGGCCTCGGGGTTTATAACGGGTGTGGCCTTTCACCTCCCCCTACTGGCTCCCATCCATACAGCTATGCTTTTCTCTTTTATATGTTGGACTTCTGGGCTCCCTTTTCTGAAAATGCTGTAATAGACACAACCAGCCAAAAATGTACTGTTCCTACAAGACCTCCAAACCCAAAAGGAACATCCCTTAGAGAAGAGAGTTCTACTCTCTGGCCAAAGTCTACTCACCTAGGATTCTGTACAAAAGCACAGCCTGGACACAGGGAGCAGGTTTGACTGAAACCCAGAGTAGCCTTCAGCGGCAACACCTCAGCTCTCAGCAGAGCACACATAAGCTACAGATACAGGGACTGTTTAAAGCAGTCATTGTGTCAGCTGGCAACCCAACAGGGGCAGACAAAAGAGGCAGTGCCTGTAGAAGAACAGCAATCTGCCTGGAGTCATTCAGGGCAGAAGCTATTGCTCAACGTAGTGGAAAGAAAATGAGATTCAGAGTCAGAGTTCTAATTCCACCACTTCCTGGCTCCATGATGCAATTTTGAGCAAATCATTCCATCGCTACCATTTACACATCCTGAGGTTAGGGGCATTTCTCCTTCCTCCTCGGTCTGTCTCTAAAGCTCAGTGCCAGCTCTAACCATCCTTGACAACTTTGTTTCACCAGCAGGTGCTCAGTGAATGAAACAAAGAAAAATGCAAGCTCATAAGTGTTTGGCCACCCCCAGGATGTCAAAGAGCTAGGCAGAGGTAAGGGGTATAAGTAGAAGAGAACTTAGTTGTCCCTTGAGGTCTGATGAAGGATCATTAAGATGGCAGAGGACCTCTCTGCAAGTCAGTCACTAGAAAAGCAACCACTCACCTCCCATGAACTGTGATGGCAGCAATGCCAGTGCTCTCTATCCGCTTCACAAGGCTCAGGGTATCTTCCAGCTGGGGAAGAGACCCGCACAGGGTGGTTACTGAAGTCAAGTGGGAGCAGCTGTCAGCTCCTAAAGGGGCTCAGCTCTACCTCCTCCTCCAAACCTAATTCAACACCTCAAAAATTACTGACACCCCAAATAAACATCCCCAAAGAAAAGTGCCCTTCAAATATAACACACCATCCTTACCGACGGTAGGATGCGAATCTTGCAGGTCACAGGTCTGCGTGTCCCTTTAACAAGAGTACTGAGGATCTGCAGAGAGGAGAACAAAAGAGTACCTGTCTCTTCTGGAACAAACAACCACAACGGCCTGTACTAATTACTTCAGCTACAGACCTGTGTCCCAGTGGCATGGACATGTCTGTGTCCATGTATGTGTCCACATGCATATCCATTGCACGCATATACACATAAGCTCCATGAAGGAAGGAGTCCATCTTTTTTCTATGTCAGCCCCTTGCCTGGCACACAATGGTGTACATATATTTGGTAAATGAACGAATGAGTGATGGATCTGCATGCATGCCTGTGTAAAACACTGTGATCCTTTGCCAGGGCAAACATCTGAGAGCTTAAGAAATTCAGAATCTTAGATCCCACCTCATATTTCCTAAATGGGTCTCTAGGAGCAGGGCTTAGGAATATGCGTTTTTAAAGGCTCTGCCCAACACACTCCCTCCTCAATATGATCCTAAGGCCTAGCCCTGGTTGAGAACACATGGCTCACAGCTTCTTTCCTGCTTGAAGGCAATGCTCCCTTAGTGCTGTTCCAGGATCTGCAGAGTGAGGGAGCAGGAAGGCTTTACAGGTCTTGGGCCCTGTCCTCACGTACCCCTCTTTTAGGGGAGTCAGATATACAGGAATGAAACTGGCAAAGGAAAAGACAACATAGTCAACATATTAAAAAAGTGTTTACTTTGCATAGTAATTGTGAAGAACTTCAAAGAAAGATCAAGAAAGTCATATAGGAAAGTGTCAAGGAGGTAGCAAGACCAGACTCTTAAGAGTCAGAGATTAAGAGAGACGCAGATGACGCTGCATGTCCGTGGCACTGCTATCTTGTTCCCTCGTCAAAAATTTCAGGCCTGGCAAGCTGGATGGAAGGTGGTCCCAAGAGCCCTCTTTCAAGAACTGGGTCGCTGTCAGGCAGAGCAGAGGGGACATGAAGGCAGCTGCTACCAGTCTAGGTTCTAGACAGGTGAGGGCAGCAGAGAGCCAGGCTTACGGCAGTGGAAAACCTTTCGGGCAGGGACAAAATGAGGCAGGTCCCTCAGAAGACATCAGACTAAGAGGCTGGCTACAGGCAGGAGGGGAGAGAATGGGCGAGACAAGGCCTGCTGGCCCAGGCACAACTGCCAGCAAGGCAGACTGGGCCTACGGCCTTAGGGTCCCTCTGGCAGACCTTAAAGGAACACCTACCCTTTAAGGGGGGACTGCCTGCCAGATCCATTGAGAGGCACAACAAAAGTTCTCACTCCAGTCCTTTCCCTCAGGCTAACAGCACTGTCTCTGGAAGGTTCCTTTGCAAGTGCTGACTTAGGATCCTCTGATGTTTAGTGATTTAAGTAACTTGGCTGCTTTGATCCAGTCCTGTTTTGCAGAGCTTTCTTTTGGGGTCTTATCCAAGTAGCTCTAAGCATCGTCTTCAGTATTTCTGTTTATTTTATGTGCATGTTCAGGACCAGGAAGGAAATTAGGAACCAAGGCCAAGTGATACCACATCTCTGTGATGTGAATGTCTGTGGGGGAAAAAGACCAGCAACAGACCCCTATCTGAGCAGATTACAGCACATCTCCCCACGAGCAGGCTCACCTTACCAGACCCACAGGGTAACTCAGGAAGAGCTCCCTTTGTTGTTGGGAATGGGTTGGGGCAGGGGGGAATGGGAGAGCTTAGGCTTGGGAATCGGTGAGAACTGAGTTCAAGTCCTGACCCTGCCAGTTATTAGTCACAGCCCAAGTGCAGTGTGCACAACGGGGGTGCCCTGGGCAGCAGGGAGCGCCCGGAAATCCTGGGCAAGGGTGAGAGAGAGGCTATCACTGAGTTAGAATCTAAAACTGAGGCTGTTAATCCAGGGAGGGTACATCAGAGCTACCTAGGGAGCTTTGTCAAAAGACTGATATCCTCTCTCTGCCTCTGTCCTATCTATTTTCAAAAATGTTCATCACTCTAAGCAAGCATCCTTATTTTGAAAAACTTCCTGCCAGTGGCCCTGAGATGTTTCCAAGATGGAACCTTGGGCCTAAAACGTCAAGCCTGTGAGGAGCCACAAAGCTCTCACGCAGGCGGCCCGATATGCCAGCACAGCTTGAGCCTGGAGCTACTCCAGCCCACCACGCCCACGTCCCATTTGGCTTTACTGCGGAGGCCTGGGACCTCCCCTCCATGAAGCAAACCCGTCCACCAGCCCACCTCGCCCACCCGACCATCCCCCCAAACACAGAAGGAGCGGAATGAACTGAGCCTCGCAAGTGAAATGTACCCAGAGAGGGACAGTGGATTGGACAGAGCCAACAACATGAGTTAGAGAAGCCTGTGTGCACAGTGTTGTGAAGCAAACACCCGCTACGGGGTCCCCTCGCCTAAGTACAATAATGAGTTTGAGATCCATAATTGTTAACATCCACTCCATCCTGCAGAGAGATGACTGACCGGAGGTTCCTAAGCCCAGGTGTCTACTGACCTGTGGCTAGACACTTACACCCTACGCCTGACATCTTTAACCTAAGATGCCATCACAAGGGGCACTGATGCTAGCGTAGAGGTCACAAGACCATGGCTTTAGGCTCAGTTCTGCCTCCTTCTTCGCTACATGATCTTGAGCAAATTTTTTTCCTCTCTCTGTGCTTTAGTTTTATTATTCTTCATCAAACGGAGATAACAAACACCTTCCCTGTCTACTTCAAGGGATTTGGAGAACACATGGAATAACTGCTAGAATACACTTTGGAAATTACTCTACAAACACTAAGGATACATTAAAGGCATATTACAGGCACATTACACATACCTATCTGCACATGGGAAAAATGAAAAGGCACGTAGCTCATAAACATGCTGGCCTTCTTATATCCGAGACAGTGGGGCTGGAAGAACGCACGGGGTGAGCTACTGACACAGCAGCCAGCACAAGTGGTGGCAGCTTTTATTGGTGGTGCTTTTTCCCAAGCCACTGTATGTGGCCTGTGGTACACATAGGAGGCTTAAAACCCAGCAGGGAAGCAGGGATGGAGAATAAGAAGGAAGTCAAAGGAGCTAAGAAGAGCAACAAGAAGAGAGATGGTAGACTGAGAGAGGAAAGTTAAAAGGTGTATATGGTGTAGCAGAAAATGACATCCCCACATGCCCTGGCAGCTCACAATACCGGGTGGCAAATGTCAACCTGTCCCCAGAGCCTCATAAACCTGGCCACCAGAATCACTGAAGGAAGGGGGTCAGAGGAGGCTAATTTCAACTTGCCTTGTATGGCCCTAACCTGGCCTGCTCTCGAAGGCTGGTGGTGGAGTACGTCAGTACTCAGGGGCCCCACTGCTACACTTACCAAGCCCCTGGGAGAAGCCCATCCTCCCCAACCCAGCCCCACAGCCACTGAGCCTGTCCACGACCCACAGGTCCTGTGCTCTCATGATCTTCTCAGGAGGGAGAGAGGCAATAGAGAGGAGGCTCTAAACGAGTACCCCGTCACCACCCTCACCCCCCTACTGCTCCTACCACCTCCAGCTCTCAGTTGACATGTCCCTAGCCCTGGGCTTTTAAGGAACTTCAAGGCTAATGTAGGCTGGCTCCAGGGTTACTGAACTTGGCGGCGCATCAAAATCACTGGGGAGCCTTTTACAAATTTTCCAGACCCCAGGTGGAGTGACTGATTCACTAAATCTGGGAGAGGGGAGTGGCAAGTGTTCCGTGTTTAAGGACCTCTGCTTTCACTCATGCAGGACTTACCTTCTCAATCTTGTCAGGGTCTGACAGCAGAGCAGCTCCCATTCCTCCCTAAGGAAAAGCACACAGAGGGGCTTCTTACAGCTGGAAAAGGGTGGCCCCCTCCCCATGATAGGGCAACATGGTGTGGCAATGTGCCAGCACCCCAGCACATGTCTCCAAGGGACCAAGGTCCACTGGCAATCAGCACGTCTCCTAAGCAAGTAGGAGAGCAGCAGTATCCATACCCACAAAACCAGGGCTCAAAGTCTAATGAATTCTAATAGTCATCACTCTGATCCCTTAGAAGGGCCACAGATCTATCTAGGAGTGGGTTCTACAAAAATAATGTTTCAGGACTGCCTATTCCCTACCCAGGGTATCAGTATCTTAATAAACTAAACCCCACCATCTGCCAAGCTCCTAAAAAAAACAGCGAAAAACAATGACTCACTCTTCCGTTGAAATGAGAGCAAATGCACCTTGTTCCTATCCTACCATCACTTGCTTTGGTACCACCACCGCCAGCAAAGCCACTCAGGGGCATGCAATCTGCAGACTTTCTCCAGGCGCCTCTCCCCTGCCAGCAACAACAGCCTGATCCTTAGCACCCAGATCAATGTCAAATTCTAACAAAGCCCCAGCTAAGGGATACCCACAACCCATGGAGCCATGTGAATCTTGACTTTAACAACAGAGGGTGTCTCTTGATGATGGGATAATTGGTGATTTTCCTGCTCTTTGTTGTACTTTTATATCATCCAAGTTCTGGACAATGGCATGACATTTTAATAATGGGGTTTGGGGGGGCGTTAAAAATCTGAACCCATTAAGGGTGAGGTGAAGGGGAGAAAAACAAATCCAGTAAATACATGTTCTCAGTATATAGGCTGTACACTAACAAATGCTCACAGTTTGTGCTCAGAAGGTTGAAGTTCAGTGATTACATTTTTTAAAGGATGACAGATTAGAATCAGCGAGAACACTGACCCACCACTGACTGAGCCAGCCTGGACCTGCATGTCAGAGGAAAATGGGAAGGGCAGAAGGGGACTAACCCTGGCCACAGATACAAACCTGCTTAGAGGCTTTAAGGGAGCTCTGGCCCCAGATCCATTTGTCCTTCAGCTCTCACACAATGCAGCCCTTCCTGTGGAATCACAGGCTCTAAAATGCAGTCTCTCCCTGCCTGGTGCAGCTCAGTGGACTGAGCAATGGCCGCAGACCGAAAAGTTGCCAGTTTGATTCCCGGTCTGGGCACATGCCTGGGTTTCGGGCCAGATCCCCAGGTGCGGGTGTGTGAGAAGCAACTGATCGATGTAGCTCTTGTTCAGTGATGTTTCTCTCCTCCTCTTTCTCCCTCCCCCTCTCTAAAAATAAATATTTTTATGAAAAAAATAAATAAAATGCAGTCTCGCTTCCCCTTCCACAACAATGGCTTTCTCAACTGGTATTTCCTTCCTTCCTTCCTTCCTATTTAACTTATTTGCTTTTTTGAATAGGTAACACATTAAAATTTTTAAAGATTCAAACAGGTAAAAAGTAAGAACTCTCTTTCCCTGAGGAATGGAAACTTTTCAATTTATACTTTTCACACGGCCTCAATCCCTGAGCCATCCAGAAGGGAGCAAACACGGAGGCGGCGCGCTCCGGAGTGGCACACTGCTGACCATCTGCTCTGGCCGGTCGGTGCCAGTGCTCTGCTTGTTCTTAATTATTGTGAGTAGCACCCGAGCAAAGGGAATTTAACCCCTGTGCAAAACCAAATGAAAACTTAGTTTCCTTCCATAGGCGAAACCAGTGTTACTAGTTTCTTGTGTGTCTTTCCCCATACATTCTATGAAGAGAAAAGTAAATGTATGTAAATATTCATTCCCCATTCCCCACACATAAATGGTAATACACCATATACAATTCTGTCCTTTGCTTTTCTTCACTCCACGAACTCAGGGAGGTTATTCCGGAAATTTCAATTCTGCTCCTTACATAACTCACAAAGGTAATTTGAAAACAGCACAAGAGAGTCCAAGTTTTCAATTTCCCATAGACAATTTCAAATCTCCATGGTTCCTTGAAGCAGCTGTCTACAGGCCGTCTGGGTTTCAAGAGCCCCAAGAGCCGTTTTCTCAGGCAGCCCTCAGGCTCCTGGCTTAAAGGAAAGGTCCTTAGCCACGGAACTCCTGAAAACAGAGTGGCTGACTCTGGACAGTGGGCCCGGGGGACATCTGCTATGTCTACACTACAAACCCTGACCACGCCCCCTACATTAAGGTTCCCAGGGGCAGACACCCGGAGTCTCTCTGGTGTCTCACACACACTGAACCCCAAGCTGCGCTTGTAATCTGCCCCAAACATGCTTTTCCTCAGGCAGCCTAGCTGCCATGGAAGACCCACCGCCCTGCTGGCTGGCTGTCAGTCTTTCCTCTCTCTACCCCCACCACTCACCCCACTCCCCGCACCCAGTACAATCACCTGCCAGCTGGGTTCTGTCAAATTCTGCACCAGCTGGGCTTCTCCTCTCTCTATCCCCCTAGTCGTTCCTGTGGACCCACAACCCTCATCTCCCACATCTGTGTCCCCACCTCAAGCCTCTTTCCACTTCAATCCACAAAACACGTGGCTTCCAGATTAGTATTTCTACTCACAGAATGTATTTGGAAAGACACACAGAAACTAGTAACGCTGGTTTCCCCTTAGGAAAGAAACTAAGTTCCCGATCACATGCCTTTCTGTCCTCAAAAGGCCAAGGATATTGACGATCTAAGTCCAGCTACTCTGGTCTCAACCAAGAAGTTCAAGCCTGTGTTCCTCTGCTTCCTCACCATCTCTCACTCTCCAACCCTCTGGTCCAATCAAGCTTCCCTGCCTCTACTTCATGTTGGCCTCTAAGCTCTGCACTGCCATTCCTCCTCCTGACTGCAGGGTCCGAACCCCCTCACCGAGGACCATATTTCTCTGTAAAACCCCAAGCTGAAGTGCTGCCTTTCGGCTCCCTTCTGAGCTATCCTAGTACGCTGGTCTGATCCTCTGATACGAAAATGGGGACACATGTATTGCATCCTCCATTTTTATCTATCTATCTATCTATCTATCTACCTATCTATGTATCTACCTATCTATTTTTTATCCTCACCCAAGGCCATTTTTTTCATTCCTTTTAGAGAGAGATGAAGGGAGAAAGGAAGAAAGAAACATCAATGCAAAAGAGAAGCATTGATTGGTTGACTCCCATAAACACCTGGGAGCAAACTGCAACCCAGGTACGTGCCCTGACCAGGAATCAAACCTGCAACCCTTCAGTTACAGGACAACACTCAAACCACTGAGCCACACCGGCCAAGGCCATATCCTCTATTTTTAAAAAGATGTATGTCTTGGTATTATTCATGAAAAGACAGAGCCCTGTTCACATTAGTTTTTCTTTTAACATTTACATCATTTAAAACAAACAGGCACAATGTTGTGTGTGTGTTTATGCATATATGCGTATGTATGTGCATATAAACTTTTTCCTCAACCATTTGAGGGAAAAGTTATTTATATCATACTCCTGACCCCTAAATATTTTAGTGTATATTTTCTAACAATAGGGATATTCTTACAAAACTGAGGAGTTGTTAACTTTACAAATGTACACTGATACAGTATTTTTAGCTAATCTACCATGGTCCGCATTCCAATTTTGCCCACTGATCCACTTGCGCATTTTCCCCACATACTACAGGAGTCAGGCACTGTACTTAGTTGTTATGTCTCAATGGATCTGTTTAATCTGCACCTTATATTTGTGAAGAGTATAAAAAACTCAGTTTACCTTGGTGGAATACTCTTTTGGACAGCCCATGTTGACATCAATACCAGCCACATCGTTTTCTCTGGAAAAACATGGAATAGAAAAGGTAGTAGTAAATATTCAATTTGAGGAAAGACAGTAGAGTCAAAGGCATGGGTCCATGCTCATGAACCCCTTTACCATGTCCCTGGCCCTGAAACACACCAACCCTCAGTGTCAGAAGCTGGAAAAGAATCTGTCTCTACACCTTGCAACTGCCTCCCCGGCGCAACACTCAAGAGGCAATGGTATGATGTGCTCCCACGTTTATATAGAGTTAGTTGTAGGGGACTTTGCTACTTTAGAATTATATCAGATCACTCAAATACTGAGCAACAGTCACAATGAACTTGACCCCAGAGTTCCAGCTCTGGCTGGGATAGTGAAAGCCATCTGTCCATGCATAAAAATGACGTGAGCATGAGAGCCCTCATCCAGAGCACTGGTTCTGGTGGAAGTTACAAGGCTGCCTTTACTGGCTGGGTCACGCAGTTGGCTTACCCCAAACAGTTCTCAGGTGTAGTAAGGACCCGTACCTCATCTTCTGGTATATACACAGTTAACAGGCTGTGATTCAGCAGCAACTATTATAAGAGTGCTTTCTCACCCTTACTGTAATTAATAACAATAGCTAATACTTACTAAGCGCTCACTATGTGCCACGCACTGCAAAGACATTTACATGCATTATTTCATTTACCTTTCCCTATAATACCAGAGGTAGGTAATACTATTGGACTCACTTTGTAGATGAGGAAACTTAAGTTCTCAGCAAGGTTACCTGAGGTCACACAGTTAGCAAGCAGCAAAGCCAAAGCCAGAATTACAACCCAGGTTCATCTAACTCCGTAACCACAACACTCTCCTGCCTCCGTTAATTTAGGAAACACTAAGTCTGACCTACATTTCATGAGATTCAAAACCTCAGGCCTCATGGTCACAAGAGTCCTTGGAAAGGGAGCCTCCCGAATAAACACCAAAAAATAGTGACCCACACAGAGCTTATCTGGGCATGGTGGGTACACGAGTCCCAGGGCGGCCCTTGGACACCACGGAGGAAGAAATCAGAAAGGAAACAGAAGGCCGTAAACTGGAAGGCAGAAGGGTAGTCACCTCTAAACATCACGAGGAACAGTGAGGTCTCAGAGCCAACAGGAGAAGCAAAGATACTTCCAAAGAGGGAAGAACTTACACAAGTCTGGCCACAGCAAGGGCTCGCTCTGCATCTGAAGTCCCCTAGGAACAAAAAAGGCTGCATCAACCACCACCGTCACACAGTACACACACACACAGGCAAACACACCCATGCACACCATGCACACACGCACGTCAGAAAGTGGAGTCCAGCTGGTCTCTTAAACAACCAGTCCACTAGACTAGCTCTCTATTAAAGGCCAAAGTGGACTGGACTAGGGCCTAGAAAAAGTCATCAATGCTGTGACTACTTTCAAACATATAAAAACATTGAAAAATTTTTATGGTGAATAATCATATACCCACCACTTAGATTCTATAATTAACATTTTGTTATATTTACATTATCATATGTCTCCCTATTATTGTCAATTTTTTAAAAATCTAATTCAGGAGCTATTCTGAAAAGGCATCAAGAAATGCCCAAAGTGAGAAAAGAAAGCTACAGGGTCATTACAACCCTAAAATAAATATTAACTACTCTTGGGCAAACCTAATTTCTTTATATGGGAATATACACAGACTACAAAAAAAATGAAGACCATGATCTGAGTAACTAATACTAGGGATTGAATACACATAAGTCATGCCAAACAGATAATTCCTATAATTAAGGAAATTAAATTTGAGATGGAAGATATGTAACAGACTACAATAGCTTGATTTCCAGAAACTATCTCCAGTGTAATCGTTCATGAGCAGATTTTCAGGAAGCCACCACTGTGCACTGAAGCCCAAGCATTTAACACTGGCCCAGCTCAGGGCATGAGATAGCAAATCAGGGCGATAGGTCAGGCCTGGGATCTCGTACCATCTGGAAGACGACCCTGCTCTGTTCTCTTTTGCAGGTGCGGAAGACTACTCGGTCATCAGGGGCAACAAAGTCCACTGTGCTGAGCACATCTGCAAGAAAACACAAACACAAAGGCCCACCCACTGAAGAGGCAAGTTCAACCTACACTAATCCATGCAAGAAAACACAGCAAAAGTATCAGCTTAAAGAAAAAAAGGGTGCTAAAAGTACACCATTCTTAAAAGAAATCTGAGTGCACATCGGAGACTTCTGAGGGGCTAATGATGTTGTTTCCTGACCTGGGTGACGGCTCGTTACATGGTTGTTTTACAGTTATTTGTTAGATTGCATGCTTGTGTTTTATGTAATTTCTCCATATGGCTGTTAAATTTTCCAATTTTATGTATTTATTTACTTATTTATTAATCTTCACCTGAGGATATGTTTATTGATTTTATAGAGAGAGGAAGGGAAAGGGAAAGAAACATCGATGTGAGACAGAAACATTGGTCGGTTGCCTTCCATACACACCCCGACCGGGGATTGAACCCACAACCTTTTGGTATATGGGATGATGATCCAACTAACTGAGCAACCCAGCCAGGGATTCACTGTGCAATTTTAAAACATTTTTTTAAAATGTGCACGTAGAACACCTTGTCCAAGCTTCAGATTTTGACCCAATTTTCCCAGATGTCACTCTGCAGTTCAGCAGCATTGCTGTTACTTAATGACTTAGCAGGTGTCAGACACTGTTAACAGATACTTACTATACTACAGTCAATTCTTATTATGTGCCATTGTGTATTTGCAGATTTGTCTGCTCGCTAAAATTTATTTGTAATCCCAAAATCAATACTCACAACATTTACATCGTCATTCTCGGGCACGCATAGAATCACAGAAAATTTCAGTCATCCAATGTCCACGTTCCGAGCTAAAGTCAAATAAGGCAACACTCTGCTTTCTTGTTTCAGCTCTCATACTGTAAACAAGTGTCTTATGATGGTATATTTAATGCCACACTTTCGCATTTTTATTGGTAATCTCATTGTTCTAAATGGCCCCAAGGACAGAATAGTGCTATGTAGTGTTCCTATGCACAATGAGGCTGTGATGTTGACTTCCCAAGAAAATACATGAGTCAGACAAGTTTTGTACAGACAAGAAATTATATATAGAGCTGTTGGCTGTCAGTTAGATGTTAATGACTCAACAGAATATATTAAATTACGTGTCTTTAAACAGAAGCACACATAAAACAAGATTACATGTTGTTCTGTTAATGAAAATGTGTGACCAGAGGTTTGCCACAACGTATACCTATACAGGCAGAACTCAGAAATACTGCTGGTTCAGTTCCAGATCACCACAAAAAAGTAAATGTCACAATTAAGGCAAGCCATGCAAATTTTTTGGTTTTCTAGTGCGTATGTTCAGCCCTGGCTGGTGTGGCTCCCAGGACTGAGTGCCAGCCTGTGAACCAAAGGGTCGCAGGGTCAATTCTCAGTCTAGGTAAATGCCTGGGGTGCAGGCCAGGTCCCCAGTAGGGGGTATGAGAGGCAGCCACATATTGATGTTTCTCTCCTTCCTCTCTCCCTTCACCTCTGTCTAAAATTAAATAAATAAAATCTTTAAAAAAATAAAGTGAAAATAAATAAAAATCTTAAAAAAAAAGTTATGTTCATACTATAGTCTGTTAAGTATCCTATAAGATTATGTCTAAAAAATGTAGATACCTCAATTAAAAAAATATTTCGTTACTAAAAAAATGTTAATCATCCTCTGAGCCCATTGGAAAAACAAGCCAATAGGCTTGCTCAACACAGGGTTGCCACAAACCTTCAATTTGTAAAAAACACAGTATATGCAAAGTGCAATAAAATGATATATGCCTGTATTTCCCCTAGGAGAAATGGTTCAGTATTCACTAACTTGGTATTTGTAGCAGCTCTATAGAACGTAACAATTGCAAATAATAAGAGTTTCATATGATCTTCATAACAAAGCTCTACAACAGGTACTAGCATAATTAGCTTTCAAAGATGACTAACAGGACAGGAAAGAAATCCAATGTGGCAGATAGAAGAATATGCCTGTGTTACGCATTTATTTTGAGAATTAAATGAGATCTTTAATGCAAGTAAAGCACTTCCCTAAATAGAAGGTGTTATTATCATCCCAGCACTGAAAAGATTAGAAAATCAAAAAGGTGGAATAAAGGCAGTGAGCGACATGTCGGGAGAGGTGAACAGCACCATCTCCAACAGCAGAGCCAGCTCCTGACTGGCAGTAAAAAGTCTGAGAGAAGAATAAAAACTTAGTGTGTTTATACTAGAGCTGGATTTATTTATAACAGCAAAACACTAACACCCCTGTTAAAGCACTAGTGAGGTCAATTCTGATACAGTCATCTGTAAGTAGTGACACGGAAAAATGTCCTAGTAGAAAAATAAGTGGCAAAATACGTGTAGCATGATACCAAGGGGGCAGGAAGGGAGATATACAAACATGTTACATTTTTACATACATGCTTTACTAACTGTGTAAGAAAATATATGCCAGTACATTATTCTTCTTTGTGATCACCTCTTCAAGTATGAGATTATGGGGGATTTTCATTTTCTACATTGCACAGGTCTGTAACGTTGAATTTTTCATAACACAAAGAAAATACAAATCTAAGACAATTAAAGACAAAATTGAATCACAGCTTCTAGTGAACTTACATTAAAATCTGGCAAATGTATATCCATTTCAAAAACCTCAAACAATACCACAACTGTAACTAAAGCAGAATCAGTCTCATCAATAAAATAGAAATAAAATCGCAATTCAGCACAACCACTTTCAATTGCAAAGTACTTACATGTACTATATCTTCTTGGACTCCAACCTTATGATTTAAGTAAAGCAGGGATTATGATTTTCATTTTACAGCTAAAGAAACTGAGGGAGAGCAGTCATCTGACTTGACCAAGGTCACACAGCTAGCAAGCGGCAGAGCCAGAACCAGCACCAATGCCACCCCAACCCCAAGGCTTCTGGGGTCCTTCCTGTGCTATGAAACCTGGCAATTTCTATGCCAGCAAGCCTGTGAGCAGGAGGCATTCTTAGCCTGTTTCATATCTGGCTCTTGTCAGGGTCTCTGGGGAGCAGTGACTGTTTTCAAAGGAAAACGTGATCCACAAAATGATGGAGCTAGGCAACGAGAACCCCGAAAGGACCCTGTCACCACGGGCAAGGGCAGTGATAGCGCGGCTTGGGCCGGACTAGGCACAAACACCATCCTGGGACCACAGCTGCACTCACCATTGACAACTCTCTTGCACTGAAGCATCTTGAGGTCGATCAGCTCCTATGGAGGAATCAGAGGGCGCTTGTCAGTCCGAGGCATGCAGGCCCTGGGCACTGGGGGAGGACCTTCGCTGCCCATCCGATGGGGCCTTCTTGGCCTGTCACCCTACTACCAACAACAAATCATGGCTTTTGGGACATGTAGTGCTGTTCTCCCCACCCACGCATGGCACACAGGGGCCTAAGGAGCTTCCCTCAGTCAGCTGCTCTGCTCCCAGACCTTGGAGATATTTGGGGCCTGGAAAGGGTGAGCAGCTCAGGGAGCCAGAGAGAAGATGACAGTCTAGGACATGGATCACGGGACACCTTCCTCACCTACTAGTCTCAGCTCCAGTCTATCTTCTCTAAGAACCTCCTGCCTCATCCCAGGAAATGTCCAAGGACAAAAGTGGAACCAGAAACACAGGGAAGAAAATTTGAGATCGACACAGGAAAGAAAAGTCTAAAACTCCTACCCTACATGGGTCACACTGTGTGGAAATGAAAGGGGTGAGATCCCCAGCTCTGGAGATATTCAGACTCACACAAAAAGGAAAAAAAGGGTTTCTTCAAAATCAGGATCATAAACAAAAAGGGAGAGCTCGTGTCTCCTGAAGGACGAGTATTGTTGGGAGAAAACGCTGCTCTGCTTTGTCCAGTGATCATTCCAACAGATGTGGGAGACAAATCAGAAGCTCATGCCCAGGAGTTCCGGGGGGATCCAGAAAAAGATGAGAAGAAACTCCCCCCTGGAACTCATCCCCATACTCATCCCCTGGGACCATAGTTGCACTCACCCTGCTGAGTCCTTATGAGCCTCAGCAAGTCACAACCCAGTCAGGTGGCCACGATGGCCTTTGCTCCTTCATGGGAGTATGTAGGGCTCAAGTAGCAAAGGGTCCCTGTGGTACCCATGGCGCCCCCCCCCCCACCCCGCATACCCACAGTCCAGGTCACTACATACTCTGGGGCTTTCTGGGGCTGTTCTCTCCATGTTGCATTCAGGTCAGCAAGTATGTGAAGCCCACCAGGCCCAATCGATCAAATCACCACCACCAAGCAGTACAGATACATGGTTAGCACCCCAGCCCCAAGAATCGGTGTGGTGTCCCCAGGGATGGACAGAGCCTGACAAAGAGCCCCTGCAACCAGTGATCCTAGTTGCAGCAGCAGGCGCTCGAAGGCACGTGTACAAGTGGGCAGTACTGGGTGGCCTGTGCTTATAAAACGCTTTGCTGCCAGCCGGAGCTTTGACCAGGTACACACAGCGCAAAGCAATGCAAGCCCTTGTTGGGGCCCCAGCTGCGCCAGCAGTAAAATAAATTTTTAAAAAACTTAAAAAAAAAAAAAAAAAAAGACTGTGGTGATGAATACACAACCCTGTTAACATACTAAAACCTATTGAATTACATACTTCAAATTGGTTAATTATGTGGTATGTGAACCATATCTCAAAAAAAGAAGTTTACAAATGTTCAGAGGAAGAGGACTATTTCAGGCCAATTGACAAAACTAGAATATGGAAGGCAGATTAGAAAAAAATACTGTATCGATGTTAAACTCACTGAAAATAATGTCTGTGTAATAGCTGTACAGAAGGATGACCTTATTCTTAGAAAAGATCAATGAAGTGTTTGAGAAGACACCATAGTGTACGGAACTTACTCTCAAATAGTTAAGATAAATATGTATATATAGAGAGCCCAAATTATAAAACAAATCAAGCAAAATATTGACAGGTCAATCTGGGTAGAGGGTATAATGGATGTTCTTTGTCTATTCCTGCAACTTTTCCATGAACTTCAACTTTTTTAATTTTTAAAAAATTACCCATTCTGGGCAAGGGACTTGAATAGCAATTTCTCCAAAGGAGACATACCAATGCCCAACAAGCACATAATGACATGGTCAACATCACTAATCATCAGAAAAATGCAAATCAAACCCACAATGATCAAATCAAACACATTAGGATGACTACTATAAAAAATATATATAAAATAATGAATGTTCAAGGTCATGGAGAAATTGTGCATTATTGATAGGATGTGTAAAACAAAAGGAGTTCCTCAAAAACTTAAAAATAGAAATTCTGTATGATCTAGCAATCTCACTTCTGGCTATATATCCAAAAGAATTAAAAATGGGGTCTCAAAAGTGATATTTCACACCAATATTCATAGAAGCACTATTCACAACAGCTAAGAGGTGGAAGCAACCCAAATGTCCATCAACAGATGAAAAAATAAACTGTAGTATATACATATAATAGAATATTATTCAGCCTAAAAATAGAAAGAAATCCTATCACATACAACAACATGGATGAATGTCGAGGACATTATGCTAAGTGAAATATCCAGTCACACAAAGATAAATATTGCATGTTTCCATTTATATGAGGTATCTAAAGTAGAACCGTGGTTACCAGGGCTTCAGGGGAAGTGGTAATGGGGAGTTGTTTAATGGGTATAGAGTTTCTGGAGATGTTTTACAACAATGTGAATGTACTTAGCACTACTGAACTTAAACACTACACTTAAAAATAGTTAACATGATAGCCCTGTCTGGTGTGGCTCAGTTGGTTGGAGCATCGTCCCATAACCAAAAGGCTGCAGGTTCAATACCCAGACAAGGGCACATACCAAGGTCACAGCTCAATCCCCATCCTGGTGCATATAATCCCTGCATTAATGCTTCTCTCTCACATCGATGTTTCCTCTCTCTCCCTTGCTCTCTAAAAGCAATGAAAAAATGCCTTGGTGAGGATAAAAAAATGTTTAAATAAAAACAGTTAACATGATAAATTTTGTTATGTGTTTTTTTACCACAATAAAAGTAAAAACTTTTAAGTACCTATTCTAGTGATCTGGGCCTCTTAAGAACACTGCCTTCTCCCTTGTTCTTGCTTATTAAAAGGTATAGGTCCAATGGGTAAGCGTCTCCTCACAGTCTAGGCCCCTGAAGTCCCATTGTTCTTATAAAAAGGAACAAAAACGCAATATCCGAGGAACTCCTCGAAAACTGTCAATGGGGCAGATCTTAGTGAGGAATCAGACTATTGTTCCCTTGACTTTTGCTGAGCTGGTTTATCCCTTCTTCACCTCCAGCTGCTGAGGGCTTTACAGGGCTTTTAGTGAGGTTTCGGAATGCCTGGTATACCCTAGGTCATATACCCAGTCCTGTGATGTGAGTGGGGTGGTCTGACTACCTAATCCCACAAATGGGCCTCCTCATGAGAAGCCAGTTAAGATCATGCAGGCAGCTAGTATTGTACAATGCTGGACTGCAGAGCAACTCTGAATCCACCAGGGGGCACCAGGCATCGCACTGTGTCAGGCCCAGTACTTAAGGCCCAGCCAAGGAACCACACCAAACAGGAGCCACCTGCCTGTCTCCTGCTTCTGCTCTGCACAGGGGCTAGGTCTGTGTGGAGGGCCTATGTCTCCTCTAGCAGAAGCCCCTTTGTTCAGAAGCCATATTGACTCTGAATTTCAAAGTATGAGCACATCAAACATACCAAATAGTTTTAATCAGTCTTTTCTTTTCTCCTAACTTAGCACAGCCCTAGAGGAAAGGATTGGTTTCACTCCTTAGGAAAACCAAGCTTGGGCCAATTAGGAAGGGCCCAGAGGAAAGGAAGACCACATTCTGAAGACACCATGTAAATCCTGTGCCCCTGATTTCCAAAGTGCTTGAAAACAACCCTGAGAAATTTTGAAGAAGTAGCTGATGGAAGGTCTGCAACCTAGAGGCCGCCTGTTTTCTTGTGGCAGCAATGCTCCCAGTGCCCGGCTTCCATGACCCCATCACACAGACCAGTTTCCCCAGGGCCGTAAGCACACAGCGGCGTCTAAAGCAGGCCCTGTGCTACAGTGCAACCCCTCGCTTCCATCCTGGTGTTTCATTCCACATGTCTTAAGTGAATACAACCCCACTACCTAGGGTCCCAGAAAAACACTACCTGCACGGGAAAAATGAAAGCCAAGGGGGCTGGATATGTTAACGTAGACACCACTGCCTTTTCCTCAATTTAAGCAACCCCCAGAATCTCTCCTTAGAACCAGTGTGAGCCCAGGTAAGCTGGTGGTCCTAAAGGCCTGAATTCCTTACTCCTACTTGGTTCAACAAAAGAAACGAGCAGGATGGTGGGGGCATAACTGAATCTAAAAATAAAGGGCTAAAACTCAAGGACCAACTCTTACTTTTATTTGAAGGCCTAAGATTTGGGAGAGAATGGAGAGTCATCAGAGTAAGCAAGTAATTGATGGAGACAGTATGCAAAGCACGGATAGAGAGAGAAACACCATATACTCTGCGCCTTGAAGTGATCATGGAGAGGGGACAGCTGGACAGAGATGGAACTGGGGCAACAAGGAGAAGGCAGGGGACTTCACCCTTGAGTCTGAGTAATCCTCCACGACCTTGTTGGTCATCGAAGCCTAAAAGTACACAAACAGGAGTTTGCAACAAAGAAAGGGCTTACTTTTAGGAAGTGGCCCATGCCCAGAGACACAATTGAGCTAAGGGTAAAGACCTGGATCCCCAGTGGCTTCCCAGGAATGGGTTTTATAGGGGGAAAGTCATTAATCATGGTGACTAAGGGAGTTACGGTCATGGTCTCTACTGAGTGGCCAGTGCCAGGGTAGGGGGTGGTTGACCATTGAGTCTAGGGTCCTGTTGCCAGCTGTTGCCTGCCATGGTGCTGCTTCATCTGGTTTCACAGATGGGCCTGGAGCTCAAACACAAATGAGACCTAGACATTATCTTTAGTTTGACCTAAACTCTCCCTCTGGAATCAACAGCTCCCAGGCTTTTTTTTTTTTTTTTTTTTTTTAAAGATTTTATTTATTTATTTTTAGAAAGAGGGGAAGTGAGGAAGAGAGGGAGAGAAACAAGAGTGTGTGGTCGCCTCTCATGTGCCCCCTACTGGGGACCTGGCCTGCAAACCAGGCATGTGCCCTGACTGGGAATTAAACCCACAACCCTTTGGTTTGCAGGCTGGCGCTCAATCCACTGAGCCACACCAGCAGGGGCGGACCCCAGGCTTTGTTCCTAAAATTATCTGATATCAACCAGAACCTCTCTGTCCTGAGGGCTTAATGATTAAGGAAGTGGCCATGCAAGGGAGAAGGAACGAGGTGAGTCAGGGTCATGGATGAGGCCAGTTTGAATCAAAGGAAAAAAAGGAGAAAAGGTCATATTAAAGAAATAGTTTCTTTTTTTTTTAAGATTTTATTTATTTTTAGACAGAAGGGAAGGGAGGGAGCAAGAGAGGGAGAGAAACATCAGTGTATGTTTGCCTCTTGCCTACCCGCTACTGGGGACCTGGCCCACAACCCAGTCATGTGCCCTGACTGGGATTTGAACCAGCGACTCTGGTTTGTGGGCCAGCACTCAATTTACTGAGCCACACCAGCCAGGGCTTAAAGAAATAAAGTTTCTAAGCAATTACAACAATGCAGAATATAGATGATGTATCATAGAATTGTACACTTGAACCCTATAAAATTTTATTAACCAATGTTACCCCGATAAATTTAATTTAAAAATAAAATATTGCCCTTTATAGCCACAGTCCCCACTCCACTTCACTCTACCTCCAGTGACTTTTAAAGGTGGAAATATCAGATGCACTGGGGTAGCTTCTTCTTAAACTTCCCATATCCACTAGGGGGACATAATGGGATTGGGGAGAAGCTGTCTAGATAATTCTGATACATGCTCAGTTGAGAACCACTGCTCATACCCCCTCATTATCCAGAATCAGCTACTCCTGTAATTCTATTTTTCCTAGCAGATGCCTTCTAAACCTGGGTGTGAAGGCCTAATATTCTCCCAAGCAGTCAACAAGCCACTGGCCCACTTGCTACCTCCACCAGAAAATCCTACAGCTCCCCAAAACCAATCTCACCCAACTTCCCTGACCGGAATCTGGGCCTCTTCCTCCTCCTCCTCCTAACGGTGATCCATGTACTGAATGTGCATTAAATCCTGGAGGGGCCAGGGCTGTGACCTGAGAGGATGCTCATCTCTCCACCTGACCCAGGTACCCTGCAATGCCTCCACACTGCGCAGACCGCTGGCCCTCAGCAGGGCTCCCAGAACTCATAAATGTCATGCGTCTTCATCTCCTGATGCTTTCAGTGAGCGCCTGTGAGGCCAGTGCCCCCCACACCCCCAACTCCCTCCTGACCACGTCTACCCATATGTGGGGAGACTGCACTTGCAGAAAAGCTCTGGGAGAATCTGTAGCCCCTTACCTCACAGTACACGATGTCCGCTCCATAGTCCAGGGCCAGCAGCCGCATTGGGAGAGTCCCTACCCGAACCATAGGAGCTAAGATGAGTTTGTTGTGGTAGCACAGTGAGAGGCTGTTCACAATCATTCTTCCTCTGCTCAAGCCTGAACGAAAGGAAAACAAGAGTCAGAAATTCAAATGGAAGAAATCTCTTCTATTATCCAGGGCAAGCTTCCTTCTTCCTTCTAACATATAGTACCTTGTTTTCCTTTTCTCTGATCATAAAAATAACACATGCTCACTCACTCATCCAATAAATATTTATTAAGTGCCTAGTCTGTGCCAGTCACTATCTTAGTCTTTGGGGATACATTAGAGAAGAAGACAGACAAAAATTCCTGCTCTGGTAGAGCTTTCAATCTAGTTAGGGAACACAGGCAAAAAAAAAAAAAAAAAAAAAAAAAAAAAAAGGCATAATAAATTAAATGGTATTTTGGAAATTTGGTACTGTTGGGCCTTTGTACTGTGGGTTTCATATCCATGGATTCAACCATATGCAGATAAAAAATAAGCAGCCAAAAAAAAAAAAAATCCCAGGAAGTTCCACAACACAAAACTTGAATTTGCCACATGCCAAGCACTACACTGAATCCACATGAATGAAGGGTAGGCATGCCCTGCTGTAGCCTATACGCAAATATAGGTTATATATAAATATTATGCAATTTTATATAGGGAAAAGGACTTTGGTATCTGTGGGGGTCCTGGAACTAACGCCTCCCTATTTTCCACATCCAACCCATCATTAACTCCCGTTGAAATAACCTTCAAAATATAACTTCCATCTACCTGCTCTGCTTCATTCCATTTCTCCCATTGGATTTCCCCAAATCTACTCTTGCCTCCTCCTATCCACTGTCTTCACAAAAACCACTTCCTTATTTATATCCTTCAATGGCTTCCCACTGAGCTTAGGATAAATTCCAAACCCTTCGAATGGCCCAGAAAGCCCTGCAAGACCTGTCCCTGCCCACCTCCGCAGCCTCACCTTGAGCCCCTCTGCCTCTCACTCTCTGCTCTGGCCACCCTGGTCTTCTCCCACCCAAGCTTGCCCCGGCAGTGTGGCTCACTTCGTTGGAGTGTCATCCTGTAAGCCGAAAGGTCAGAGGTTTGATTCCCAGTCAGGGCACATGCCTGGGTTGTGGGTTTAGTCCCCGGTCGGGGCATGTACAAGAGGCAACTTATGAATGTTTCTCTCCCTCCGTTCCCATCTTTCTAGAATCAATAAGCATGTCCTCAGGTGAGGATTCCAAAAGTATTAATCAAGAAATGAATGCTTGTATCATTACCACCTGAGATCCAAAGAACAATTGTTTTTAAAACTCAAGGGGTAAACAGGCAACATAAGTTACCATGGTATCCCTGGGAAAAAATACTACCAAGTTAGGCCTCTGCTTCCAGGAGCTTACATTTTTTCCACAATAAGTAAATCCTTCTTATTTCTAAAGCACTATACTATAAAATATGTATCTCAATAATAACGAGAAGTTATTTAATGTCTGCTGTGAGTGGGAGGGGAGACAGACTTAAGTGGTAACTGAGGAACTGAAAAGAAAAAATTAGGGAACATGAGCAGAGACAGGCTCCAATCCCTATGAGATTTTGAGGCAATCTTATTGTAAGGGCTCGAGCATGATGAGATAGCAGCCACTTACCAACTATTCTGCCCTAAATATTTGAATAAAACCTAAATGCAAATTCATACCTATGTATTATTCTTCTCTAATAATTCTTCAATGCATCTCTTCTGGCTTGGTACATACAAATGAATGAAACCTATAGGATCAGACATTCAAAGAGCTATTCAGCTAAGGGATTAGGAACCCTGAGTTCTTAGAATTATAAAAGTAATATAGAATCACAGTATCTTGGAGCATCCTTTATTCAAATACCCTCTATCATGTCACTAATCAGTGGTCATCCAGCATGTGTATAACCTTTTCAATGGTGGAAAACTCAGCATTCTCAAGGCAGATCTGGGCAATTCTAGTTGCTACAGCTTCTTTGTACCGAATTCAGAATCTGCCTCCTTGTCACCCACTGGTCCCAGTTTTGCCTTCTGGAAGGGGACACCCACAGCATACCTCATCTCTTTTCCATCTGGCACACTTCCTAAATATGTAAGGACAGTTCTGTTCTCCCTAAAACTTCTCTTCTGCAGCTTTACCTTCTTGAATCACTCCTTTCTATGTTTATGATTTTCAGGGGCCCCCAAGGTTCTTGATCCCAAGGGCATTACAAGCATGGCATCAGCATGTGTGCTACGGATTCTGGGAGGGAGCCCGGGCTAGAACAGGAGTTTGGCAAATGAGCCTCCCTGAGTGCATGTGGTAACCTCAGCCTCTCTTCAGTTCTCGTCCTGTAGGCAGGGTTTCTCAACAGCAAACTCAACGTTTTCAAATCTTTTTTGTGGGGAGCTGTACTATGCATTGCATGGTGTTTAGATGCCAGTAGCACTTCCTCAGATGCAACAACTAAAAATGGCTCCAGACAGTGTCAAATGGGGCATGTGGAGTGACCGAGGTAAAATTAGTGACTGTTCACTGTCACTACTTTAGGCATTCTCCGCTGCTTTAACAGGTAACTCTCCAGAAAAGTCTACTCATGTATCAAAATGGTATTTGAAATTTTAAAGGCACTTATCTTTGTAATGGTATTTGATGAAACTAAAACACTTTCTCCAGATGTTAAGAACCTCCCAGATGATTAATCCACATTTATCTTATCTCCCACCCCAGGCACTGAGGACTACAGAAAAGATGACACCCATTTTCCAGCTCTATGAAAGAATTATGACTAGTATAAGGTTTATTTGCAACCTGAACATCTGAATTCAAGTGAAATAGTCTGCCTGACCAGGGTTATGTGAGACAAGCCACATAACTCTATAGAGCAGCAGGACCCTCCTCACTACTATTCAAATAATTTACTATCTGACTGGGAAACCAGTGGAGGTGAGCGGATGGCAAAAGTGGGTTCAGGATGAGAAGTTGGGTAGGGTGACAATGGAGTGTGAATCTCAGCTGAAAAGAGAAAACATGTTAAGAGATGAGTCCGCTTGAATAGTGCCTGAAGACCTTCAATGACATAATAAGCTGAAGGCTACCAGTTTGTCCTCTGGGGTTCCAGCTGGGCTGGGGAGTCGAGGGCAGGGGAGGTTCAGCCTAGATCTACCACACCTGCTCTTGTCTCGGCCCCCAGGCAAGGCGAATCATTCAGATTCTTAATAAACACTTATTACCAGACCTTGCGCAGGGACCACATCTGTAAAAACATCGCCGCACCCTCTGAGTACACAGGGGCAGACCAGCACCGGACAAGCCATCAGCCGGGTGGTGAGGACGACACAGGAAAATCGCAGGGATCAGACACCCAATCGCCGGAAGCCCTCCGCCCTCCTGGTGTATAAGGCCCGGGCGCCGTCGCCGCTCATCGCCAGACCCCAGTCCTGTTTCCATTGCGCGCCCTTCCCCAAGACTGGCCCAGGTCTGGACGTCGCCAACACTTATTCGGACTTACAGACCTCGCCGCTGCTGAACTCTACAGTTCCTCCCTTCTTCCTCAAGATTCGCCAATTCCGCGTGCCTTACTGAGCCACGCCAGCCACCGTCTGCGACGCCTTGACGCGCTAGTGACGTCAGTGCAGTGAGCCTTTCCAGGAGCAAGAAAAACATGCCTCTAGCATGGTGTCCGCGGCTTTCGTTGCGCGCGGCTCGGTTGTTTCTGGCACCTCGACGGGACCTGGCGATTAGCGGTCCCGATGAGCCCCTACCAGTGGTACGCATCCCACGGACTCTACAGCGGCGGCAAGAAGAGAGGCAGAGCGGGCGGCGGAACTCCACGAGGCTGGTACTGGTGCGACCTGGCCGGCTGCTGATCTCTGCGCGGCGGCCGGAGTTCAACCAGCCGGCTCGCCTCACGTTGGCTTGCTGGGAAAGCGCGCCACTCGCTTCGCGGGGCTGGAAGAATCGGCGCTCCCGTTGGGACCACTTCTCCATCGAGCGCTCACAACGCGAGACACCGGCATTGCGGAACTTATCCGAGGGCAGCTTCGCCGATCTGGGTCTGGTGCCACGCGTATTGTGCGCACTACAGGAGGTTGCTCCTGAAGTTGTTCGGCCCACAACCGTGCAGTCGAGTACCATCCCTCCATTACTTCGCGGCCGCCACATCCTTTGCGCTGCGGAAACAGGCAGTGGCAAGACTCTCAGCTATCTCCTCCCTCTGCTTCAACAGCTCTTGGGCCGACCAAGCCCAGACCCCCGCAGTGTCCCTGCTCCTCGAGGCCTGGTTCTTGTGCCTTCGCGAGAATTAGCCGAACAGGTGCGGACCGTGGCCGAGCCCTTAGGCAACTCCCTGGGACTCCAGGTACGAGAGTTAGGGGGAGGCCGTGGCATGAGTCGGATCAGGCTGCAACTGCTCAAACAGCCTCCGGCCGATGTTCTAGTGGCCACTCCGGGGGCTCTGTGGAAGGCTCTGAAACGTCAACTGATGAGTCTGGAGCAGCTCTCCTTCTTGGTTTTGGATGAGGTAGACACACTGTTGGATGAAAGTTTCCTGGAACTCGTGGACTACATCTTAGAGAAGAGTCATATAGCAGAACGCCCAGATGAACTAAAAGACCCTTTCAATCCTAAAGCTCAGTTGGTACTGGTAGGGGCCACATTTCCCAAAGGTGTGAGCCAGCTGCTGAGTAAAGTCGCCATCTCAGAGTCTCTAACCACCATCACTAGCTCCAAGCTCCACTGTGTCATGCCTCATGTCAAACAGACATTTATGAGGCTGAAGGGAGCAGAGAAGGTAGCTGAGTTGATACAGATCCTCAAGCAGCATGACAGAGCAGATAGGACTTGCTCCTCAGGAACTATTCTAGTGTTCTGTAATAGCTCTAGTACTGTGAACTGGCTAGGGTATATTCTGGATGACCACAAAATCCAGCACCTAAGGTTGCAGGGACAAATGCCAGCCTCAATGAGGACAGGTATCTTCCAGAGCTTCCAGAAGGGCTACCGAGACATACTTCTCTGCACAGACATAGCCTCCAGGGGTCTGGACAGTATTCACGTGGACCTAGTTGTCAATTATGATTTCCCTCTCACCCTGCAAGACTACATCCACAGAGCGGGGAGGGTGGGCCGAGTAGGGAGTGAGTTGCCAGGCACCGTCATCAGCTTTGTTACTCATCCCTGGGATGTGAGCCTGGTTCAGAAGATTGAGCTGGCAGCTCGCAGGAAGAGAAGCCTTCCAGGACTAGGGTCCTCAGTGAGAGAGCCTTTCCCCCCCGCTGACGTGAATGTGGTGCCATAACAGCGATCTTTCCCGATGTGCTGGGTGGGTGAGCATACTTCAAAGTAGGATGCTCCAGGCTGCCCACTCCCCTCCCTGCAGATCTGGAGGGCGGCTAAGCATGACTCTAGTGTTTCGCAAGTCATGAAAAATAAAGTAGATTTTGGCTTTGTATTATGTCATGATCTCCAACAAAAAATATTTTTAGGGGTTTTAATAATAATAGTTACCATTGGGGCAGCATTCATTGGAATGAGAAAACTCACATTCCAAAATACCACACCCATACTCTGGTTTCTCTTCATATTGTATAAATCTTTCGCCTTTTACCAAAATACCACACCAAGGACAAACCTGCTTACAAGTTTTAGTCTGTAACATTTAGATTTTATTTTCTGCCCCCAAAACATTATTTAAGCTCCCATGAGAAGGGAAAAGTGATGTGATTAGCAGTAGAGAAGTTTTCACCAACACTGCTCATGGAAAGCTTGCACAGTCTTGATGGAATCAGTCTGGGAAGTCCTGGCAAAAGAATCTAAGGCAGGCTGACAGACAAGTATTGCTTGGTGTGCATGTCCAATCTCTGCCTTTTTCCTCATCTCTTGGTGATGGCGGAAGAGGAGAGAGGATTACAGTATTTTACCAAACTGGTAAATTAAGCATATAGCATCCTCTTACTGTCTCCTAGGTTCCAGGCTCTGCAATATTATATAAACTTTTTCTAAAGTAATGAATACTTGAGTGTAAAATATAATACTCCACAAAACACTTAAAAATAATTACACACTGAAAAGGATCAGGTTGTAGAGAACAGATGGGCCCAGGGAAACCTTTGTCAAGAGAATATTGTACTAAATATACAGTGAAGCTCTATTTTTTTATGTGAAGAAACAGGCTCGGGAATAAAAAGAACTTGCTCAGAATCACACAGTAAATAAATTATTTTAAAGAATTGCAAGGAAGAGCAACCCATGGTGGGGGTGGGGGCATCTTACCTACCTGATAAATTATCTAAAAATCAGGAGTCACGGGATTTTGAACATGATAGGTAATTTATATTAAGGAAGTACTGACTTTTTGAGGTGCCATAATAGCATGGTAGTGAAGTGATTTTTCTGTATATTTTATGTAGGTATAATGGGTGTATATGTTTCAGGTATACAACATAATGATTTGATATTTGTATATATTATGAAATAATCACCACGATAAGTTTAGTTAATCTGTCACCACACAGTTACATTTTTTTCCTAGGATGAGAACTTTTAAAGATTTACTCTCAACAACTTTCAGCTATATCATTAATATAGTCACCTTGATTTCAGTACATATCATTAATATAATCACCTTGCTTTACAGTACATCCCCATAACTTATTTTATAAATGGAAGTTTGCGCCTTTTTTTCATATTTTTTTATTTACTTTTAGAGAGGGGGGAAGGGAAGGAGAAAGACTAAAGAGAAACATCACTGTGAGAAAGAAACGTGGATTGGTTGCCTCTGAACACACCTGGACCGGGTACCAACCCCAAAACCCAGGCATGTTTTCTGGCAAATCAAATAGGTGACCTTTTGCTTTCCGGGAGGACACCCAACCAACTGAGCCACACCAGTCAGGGCAGGAGTTTGTACCTTTTAACCCCCTCACCCATTCTGCCCATTTCCTCCCCTCCGGCAACCACCAATCTGTTCTCTGTATCTATGAGGTCATTTTTTTTTTTTTTTTTTAATTTCTAAAGCCCACATATAAATGATATCATGGGGTATTTTTCTTTCTCTGTCTAACTTACGTCACTTAGCATAATGCCCTCAAGGTTCATCCATGTTGCCACAAATGGCAACATTTCCTTTTTATGGCAGAATAATACTCCATTGTGTATATAAATACCACATTTTCTTTATCCACTCATCAATAGGCAGATGGGTTGTTTCCATATCTTGGCTACTTGAAATAATGCTGCAGTTAACAAGAGGGATGCTTACACGTTTTCAAGTTAGTGTTTTGTTTTCCTCAAATATATACCCAGAAGTGGAATTGCTGAACTGTATGGTAGTTCTATTTTTAATTTTTTGAGGAACCTCCATACTGTTTTCATAGTAGCTACACCAATTTTCTTTTCCACCGACAGTGCACAGGAGTTCCCTTTTTTTCACATCCTTGACAATACTTGTTATTTAATCTTTTTTTTAAATAATAGGCCTTGGCTGGTGTTGCTCAGTGGATCAAGTACCATCCTGCAAATCAAAAACAAGTCAGCACTTTGATTCCCAGTCAGGGTACATACCTGGGTTGCGGATCAGGTCCCCAGTTGGGGGCACATGAGAGCAACTGATGGATGTTTCTCTCACACATTGATGTTTTTCTCCCTCCCTTCCCCTCTCTCTAAAAATAAATAATTCTAAAAAAAAAAAAAGTGATATTTCATTGTGGTTTTGATTTGCGTTTCATGATGATTACTAATGTTAAGAACCATTTCATTTACCTGTTGACCATTTCTGTGTCTTCTTTGGAAAAATGTCTATTCAGATTCTCTGCCTTGATCAACCTTTTAAAACTTTTAAAGGTCCTTACAGGGTCTTTTAGAGATGCAGACTTAAATATGGATAAAATAAATGTCTGATTTCCTTAAAATATTCTATAGGAAGGTACATATATGATATAAATGAAACAAGATTGGCCAATCAGTTAATAATTGTTGAAGTTGGGGTTCAATATACTATTCTCTCTACTTTTTTTTTATGTAGACCTGAAAATGTAGACCTGGCTGGTGTGACTCAGTGGATTGAGTGTCAGCCTGCAAATCAAAGGGTCATTGGCTCGATTCCCAGCCGAGGGCACATACTTGGGTCGCAGGCCAGGTCCCCAGTAGGGGGCACATGAGAGGCAACAACACATTTCTCCCTCTCTTTTCCCCTCTCTTCTCCTCTCTCAAAAAAAAATAAAATCTTTTCTAAAAAAGAAAAAGAAAAAGAAAATGTACCTAATAAATTAAAAGAAACAAAAAATAAGAGTTTCTCAGGTGCATCCTGATGTTCAGCCAGATACGGATTCAGTGAGGACTCAGATGGTCAGCTTCACAGGTAAACTAGCTTGTGAGCGCCATGGAAGCTAGACAGAGGAGGGCTGGCTTCCTGAATTAAAAACCAGAAGCACAGAGAGCCCTGGAGCAGGGTGTGCTGTGCACAGCATGTCGTTACAGAAGACAGGTCTGACAAGTCTCAGAGACGAGCAGGCTAGGTTGAACAAAGTGAGAGCAAGTTTGATCTTGAAGCTAAATGAGAAATCATACATGCCATGAAATAAATGTCTGTTGGGTTAGGGGTGGCTACCAGCACTTGGTGCCCTCACAGCCCACCCTTACGGATGCTTTTGACAGCACATACCATAGATAACTGAAGACTTGTCCAGCCCCCTTACTGTATACCCCAAACAAAGGATCAGCACCAGCTGATGATCAGTAAAGGATAGCTGGATGAATGGATGGATGTAAGGGATTTAGGGCTTCTTCTGGTGAGAGAGGCTGGAAGTTGTGATGTTCTAGGAATCCCAAGAAGGCATCATTGCCTTCTCAGCAGCTGATCTCCCCACACCTGTCCTCTCCCTCAGCCAGATTCAGGAAGAGTTCTGTCCCAGGGCCAATGGGCTAGCCTCCCAACCACTGCTGGCTTCTCCAGATGGCTTCCTTATGTCCCATGAACACTCAGTGAAGACAGGGCGAGTCCAAGTCAACCCTGGTGAGCCTGGCAGTGGTGAAGAGGAATGACAGGGCAGGTGCAGAAGCAGACAGGGAAGACCTCCTTACCAAGTGGCTTGTAGTCATCCTCCAAAGCTCTGTCCCCTTGGGGCCTGAAGCCCCTGCAGAGTAGGACAACAGAAGGCTAAACACATTTCTCCTCCACAAACTCTCAATTCCACTGTCCTCACTAGCTGCCCTCAAATTTAGCAATTCCCCTGCCCAGCATTATGGATTTGGATTCGGGGAGGTCTCCAGACAGAGGAGTTCGGATGTCAGGAAAGAGCATCCATAAGCTTGGGCAACTGCTTTGTACCTAGAGTTATCACAGAGGGAGAATAGAATTACGGGAGACAGAGCTTGAACAATCTGGGGATAAGGAAATTTTGGTTTCAGATTCCAGCTCTACCTGCCAGCTCTTGAATGAGAAAGTTAAGTTCAGCTAGCTGAGCCTCATTTTTCTCTCCTAGAATATGAGGCTGGTCATAACCCTGCCTTGTGGGCTGTCTTGAGGCAAGCACATCAAACATGTAACACAGCTCCCAGCACACAGCAATATTGGCTACCCTGATGTGTCGTCACTGTTGTCACATGCCTTTGCGAAAGAAAGGAAGGCAGCCTCCTGAGCTCTAAGTGTACTGTATCTTCAACGGATATTGGTCAAGCGCCCTCTGTGTGCAGGTGTAGTGCCTTGTGCCAAAAAAAAAAGTGGTTGTGGCCTCACTGAGTTTGCTTGCCAACTTCAACGGGGGCAACCACGACAGACTGCTGTCAGTCGGTTGATGAGGAGGAAGGAGAAGTGTCAGCAAAACCTGAACCTGGGCAATCCAGATGTCCTTGTGTTTAGAGAGAGTAAGACACCAAAGACAGTTTGGATTTGGCAGAGTTCTCTATGATGTGCCCCTCTCTCTAGGCAACTGAATGTCACAGTTCAGGAGTTGCCATCTGAATCCTAGAGACTCCCTAGAGGGCCTTCCTGAGTCAAGCTCCTCTAACTGAGGGCCCTCTAACCTCCCCACAGTTGATGGCACTACTCCAAGGATGTGGGACAGCATGCAAACCAACCTCAGAACAAGAGTCCCAAACTCTGTGGGCTTCACACCTAAGTCACCAGAATATCTGGTTCCCAGAAGCAGCCCAGTCAGATGCCTCTTGGAACTTTGCTTTGGGGACCTTGTGTGCTGGATCCTTTGCACTGCCTGACCAGGCAGAGCCTGGCTGCAAGAGGACCCGAACCATCATTTATTTCCATCAAAAAGCAGCCCTAGGAGTGTTGAAAGGAGTTGCTGGCAAGAGTGCTAAAGAGAAAAGTGGGGATTAGGAAGAAGGCTGAGTGGAAGTGAGGTGTTTTCCCTATTACTGCACTTCTAGAAAGATCATCAATGCCTGCCTTTTGAGGAAGGAAAATATGCAAACTGTGATAAAGCACATCCCCCAAATATGTGCATGCATGTGTGCGTGCGTGTGTGAGGGTGTGGGTGTGTGGGTGGGGGTTCTTGGAACACACAGCTAGAATGAGGACCTGGGGCTGGGAATCCGGTGGAGCCTGCCAAACAAGGACAGGAACTTAGCCTTCAACATTTCCAAGAAAACTAGAGACAGAG